CAGGAGGCAGCCTAACACTTTCTGGCTGATGTTTTTTCATCATGGGAAAGGAAGGAAAACATAAATGGCAACCGGTACAAGCCATGCAGATTTTAACACGGTGTGAAATGACTGAGTTTCTTCCCGCTGGCTAGTGCAACTAACTGATAACAGTGTGGAAATGAGGGTTGCTGTTCATATTCGTTTTTCTGCCAAGACTTCTCAGGCTTGTGGTCCAGCATCATTTATTTTGCCTGGACGGAAGCACCTGTGTCTCGAGGCATTTTTGAAGGCAACTAAAAAGCAGCCAGGCCTCCTTTGCCCACAGACATAGAGGATTTGCAAGCTGGGCTCGGGGTGTGTTACGAGGGGTTGGGGTCCCCAGCAGTTTTCCCACGGGTGACACATTGTGAGTGCCCCTTTCAGCTCCACGGGCAGGGTGAGAAGGCCAATGACACGGGTGTCAGCCGGGAGAGCGCTGCCTCTGGCTGATATAGTTACATAGAGGAAGCACAACGTATAGCCTAGGAGGGCTAACTCTATGTCCAGATCAAGGGGTCACTTGGACTATCATTCTTCTCCATGATTTTGCATTTGCACATCCTTGTTTTAAACATATCAATTTAAAAACACTTTTTTTTTGTTTTTTTTTTGTTTTGTTCCAGAGTCTCAGAAGTAGCAGTAAATTTGAGCAGGTTTGACTAAGCAGTGAGTGCAGAGGCTGGAGCCTGCAGTTTTAAATTTTATGCTCCATTGCTGCCATTAATTGTTTTACGGGTTTTAAACTGTATCTGTATGATTTGTTTTACCACTCTGTGATACTTCTTTACAGATTATTACAGAATTCTTTTCTTTAAATGACTTATAATAGCAATATTCAAAGCCCTCACATGAGTTGATCCTATTTATTATGAACTCGTACCAATTTCTGCCTGATTTGTATAAGGTAATAGTTTAGCCTTTGAGAGATTATAACTGGTTCCCAGGTCCAGGACTGAGACCAAGTTGATTGCTTGATTGCGTAGAACCACTACTGCATTTCTATTTTATGTTGATTTTAGAGGAAAGTTCAACCATTCTCCATGCCTCATTGAATCCAGCAGTGAGTTTGCTGTTCATTTTAGGGCTTTAAAATAATTTTGCCCTCTGTTAAGCAATTGCCTCTCCATTTACTGGAGGTCAGGATTTGACAGCAATTTTTACTGTGCACTGAAGCATATGTCATAGTAAAAGATACGCAATAGGCAACAGAGTTTTCTTGCCATGTCTTCCAGTAGTATTATTAGCTCTAGATTTTTTTTTCTTTTTTTACCCTTCCCTTCCCTTCCCTTCCCTTCCCTTCCCTTCCCTTCCCTTCCCTTCCCTTCCCTTCCCTTCCCTTCCCTTCCCATCATTTTAAGACATTTTAAGACAAGAAACTCAAATATCAGACATATTTTGCAGCTGGGAAAGAAAAAACACAAAGTAGTGACATGAACTAATTGCATCAAAAACTGAACCTGAGTCTTTGGGGTTCTAGACAAAGTTTTCATGGATATCACACCTGCTTTGTGAATATAATAAAACAACAGTGTCACACTAGCTAGATGGTCTTCACACCACAAAGTCAGCCACAAAGGGATTTTAATGTAATGAGCCTCTTTCCTGCTTATCTAGCAAGAGCTGGCCCAACAGATCAGGGAAGAGATGAAGGTTGGAGGGCTGGTTTTTCTGTAGTTTCCACTGAGGCCAGAAATTACTAGAACTCTCAGCAAAGATATAATCAGTTCTAGACATTTTATATTCTTGAGAAATAAAACCTTTGTTGCCTCATGCCATTTCTCTATATAGAAATTTCTAGGGCAAGTTGGAGAGTTTAGCCCGTAGTCTACATGTGTTGCATGAGAAACATATCATTCAACTATATAAGCATGAAACAACCTCCCAATGGGGAAGAGTTTTCTTATGTCACATTTTTGTTTCTATCTTTCTGGGGGTTTCTGGAGAGTGGAAGACAGTCATTTTTTTTTAGAGTATAAGTGCTTTAGGGCAGGGACTTTTCACTCATTTTTATGGAAATCTATGTGATCTCTTGTGTGACATGAATATATAACAGTAATACTCAAATATTAGACTATAGAGGACAAACTTTCAAGTGGGACTTTTTCCAAGTAGCTGTGGCCTCTACATTGGCATGGTTCCCAGCATACAGCTGAGTGTTCCTGGTAGTTGACTGCACTATGCACTTTAAAGAGGATGGCAACAAAGGTCAAGATGTTCATAAAACCATTAGTGAAATGTCAGAAACAATTTAGCCCAAGTAAAATATCTCCCCAAAGGTATGAAGTACCCATTATAAAATATTTCTTCCAACTGCATTTCTGTCCATTACCTTCGTCAGATAAGAACTGGACTTCTGACAAAAACTGAATGCTAATATGTAAGATAACGTATTTATAGAATGTTTTCTTTGAACAAGCAAATGATAAAAGAGGACTCTGACTTGGAAGAATTTGAGGGCTTTTTTATTTTAAATATAAACTCCAAATGAAACTAAAATCTCCAAGCATAACCTGAGTTTCCAGTTAAAGTCATAGTGACTGATAGGTGATTGATAGGATTGATATGAGCTAGTTATAGTATTTTACTTCTGTCTTATGACACACTTTGTTATAACAGTGATATTTCTTGTGAGGTGTGAATATGTCCTAGCTGTTTACATTGTGGAAGCGGGAAGAGTTTGAGGATGAGGTTCATCCCCTTTCTAGCTTCATTCTTTCTCAAAGAGGTTTGCAGTCTGCTTGTCCTTCTCCTCCTCCAACCCTGACAAGTGCCATCCTGATGGAGCAGGCTGGAATCCCTCCTGCACTGGCGATATCAGAGACAGGGTAGAAGGAGCAATTGATGTGACAGAGTCCAGAGTGGGAGTTAGAGCTTGGTTTGGGTGTTTTATAAAGCTCGAAAATCAGGGCTCGAAAATCTGTTTGGAATATGGGTAAATGTGGCTATGGAGACTGGCTTGTATCTCAAAGGTCTGTATAATTCAGATAAATACAACTATTTCAGACCATCCAGCAAGCATGAGCTGCAGGACTTGCCCTTGCTGCAGAGTTGAGGAGGGCTGAGCTTTGCAGTTCTGCAGTGACTAAAGTTTCTTCAGAAATATTTGATGCTGGTTGGTGGAGCACTGAGGTGACAACCCTCATCTTTTCCTTTTTTTTGGGGGGGGGAGGGTGAAAAATTTGGTCATTAGTTATTCTGGGAATCATGATATATCTCTAGTATTGGAGAACCTCTTATTTCCAAGAATTTAGTTTGGCAGAAAATCTTTTTTTTTTTTTTCAGAGTTTTTAAGACTCTCTAAAGGTTGAATGACAAGAATGTAGATTCTCTTTAGATTACTGTTTGATTCATTTTATTATTACTCTGTTAAGCAATAAAAGCCTAATTTGGGGCTTGGGTAAAGTAGTGTTTATAGATCTTTGCTTGATTTACAGCATACACAGTTCTCATTGGATTAGCTTTCAGAGTCCAGGTGGCAATCATTAACATCAGCTAATGTCTTTTATCATTAAATTACAGAGCATTTAATGATTATTTTTAACAAATGTTTTGATATATTGAGAACTTATTTTCATTGCAAATCTTGATGAGACATTATTCATTGTCATTAGATATTAAAATAGCTGACATGTTGGATCATAAAATACGTAATATAATAGATGGTCCTGTTCAGTTCCATTGAGATTGCCTATACATCAATAAAATTTTAGTAGATCAATCATAACCCATTAAAAGTTTTTATGCCCTAGCACTGCAAGGATGATATAATACAAAAAGCATTCAGATGCTTTTGAAATTTTATGCCTTTCAGATAATTTTAAAGAATTTCCTATGTGTAAATGAGACTGGATCTGAACTTGGTTACATGGGGTTAATGGAGCCTTATGAGCCCCGAGGTCTCTTACATGCAGCTTTTTTACAGTCCCTTGGAACTGGCATCATGTATCAGGCTCCTGCTCATCCCTGGGTTCACTGAAATCGCCTTCTGTCGTTGGAGTTTATGATAACAAGGATAAAACTTTAAAACATTGACTGCAAGTCTCTTTCTCATTTTTTTTTCTCAACTTGTCTAAAGTGAAGATTAATCCCGAAGCTTTTGTCACTCTTCCTGAGCATTTTTCATGTCTGAGAACTTCGTTATTCTTCATGGATATGAACTGATCTGGTGAGGGAAGCACTTGGCGCCTTGCAGAACTCACTGTTTTGTGATTAGGCCTCTGTTCTCAGAGATCGCAGACACAGCTCTACCAGACTGCTTTACAAAAAAAAAAAGAAAAAAAGAAAAGGAATTCCGCCACTTTAACCACTGACTAGTATTTTATTAGGCAATTTATACTTGCCTGGGTCTTTTCAGCTTAATTAAGGTTGTTCTGATAGAATAAAAATGCCCACTCTGGGGTTTGTTTTTTTGTTGTTTTTGTAGTTCTGTGACAGTAACATTGGTTTGGCTAATTAGTGAAGACCTTATGACGGAACAAAACTCTCTGACTCCACCTTACGGCACCTGTTTTTGTATTTTGGTGCACAACTGCAGTTCGAAGAGTAAATTGGGGGTTATAAAACAGACACGGAACAAATTTATGGAGCTGGAAGTTAGGATACTTTTCTCCTTTCTCAACAAATATATGTTAAGGTTAGGTGCATAATACACTTGCATTGTCTCTTTATACAGTTTTCCACGGGTGTATTAAATATTCTGTTATTCACAGTAGTGTTTTTTTATGTAACCAGAAATATTATAACAAAATGAAACATCAAAGACCACCCATGCTGGTGTCTGTTTCAGTGGAATGTCATATTAACCTAAGCTCCAACATGTTCGAACATCAAGGCAGAGGAGTTATTTTAACAACAAATCTATTTACCTTATTTATGTACAAGAACAGAATCTAATTTATTTGTGAGCCCATCTGGGCTTGGTTGCTCATTTGAAGTTAATTTAACAAATGATAGACTGCAACGGGCCTTTTCTTTCCCAGGAGAGGAGGTTGACAGGCAGCTGTGCAGAGACGCCATCTACCCGATCCCCGTAGCCTGCGACGCTCCGTGCCCCAAGGACTGTGTGCTCAGCACGTGGTCCTCCTGGTCCTCCTGCTCGCACACCTGCTCCGGCAAAACCACGGAAGGGAAGCAGATGCGCGCCCGCTCCATCCTGGCATACGCTGGGGAAGGTAGGCTTGCCTGCTCGCGCACGCCCGGGCTTCCTGTGAGCTACCGGCTGCCTTTGCAATGTCCACATAATTCCTGGAGCAGAAAATATATATATATATTTTTTTCTTTTTTTTTGATATAGAAAGGTTATTTAAATATATGTCCTAAATGTAGTCATGGTACTTAAGGCCATTCTAAAGAAGTTTATTTTTCTGCTGATGTAAATTAATGTTGCTCTTTGTTATTTTGTACTACTGTCTGAAATTCAAACATAGTTTTCCTTTTTTTGTATATTTAAATTAAGCAAGTGCAATCAGCAATGAAAGACATTTACAGAGGACTGTTAGTAACCCTAGTGGTAATTAAGGTCCTGTTTTGCAAGTATGTAAGTATGAATGCTAACCAGACCAGAATTTTAATGGTTCATAATGGTTTTTCTTTTTTTTTTTTTTTTTTTTGGTAACTTCTTAGTCCAAATTGGAAACTATTGTTACCACATTATTTATTCCTAGTGTAACTTTGTTTGGCCTGCAATTCCTCACTCATGCGAGTAGTTTCCATTTATGTAAGTGGTTTGCAATAAATACAAATAAAAGATATAGCTGTAGTAAGAAAGAGAAGGAAAACATTTTTATAGCTTCATGACCTAAGCTCATCTTTGATGATTTCCTCTGGTTCCTATAGCTGATTTTATTTGTTTTGTTTTTAAATGTAGGTTGTGTTTTGGACTAGAACAAATGTATGTGGTTCTAAAATGGCCACATTAGGCTTGCCAGTGTCTAACTGGTGAGCCCTGTCCTGGGCCATGCTTAGAAGCAAGAGGACATTTTTACCAAAGAATTCTTGGAAAACCGTAATCTTTTGCTTAAAAGTAACACTGAAAATAAGGTGAAAGACTATGAGAAGCTTGCATGCATGTTCTAATTCCCCTTTTAAATAATATGTGTTGTATTTCTTCAGAGTTAAGATGAAGTTTAGCTGAAATGTGAAAGTTTTATGATATGGAAATAGTGAAACAAAATACCCATTATGAGAAATGTTAGATGAAGCTACATCAGCTGTGTTAAGATGCCTTTAAAATTAGGAACAACTTTATTTCTGTGCAGTCCTTCAATTTTAGTGTGTCATATGGACACATTTCGAGAGGAAACACAGCACACATTTTTGGATGACATTGCAAATAAATATTTTTTTTCATGTCTACTTGCTTTGTGTAGTTCAAGATAGAAGACATTTTCTATATGCTTACACAATTTTTACTGGAGACAGAGGTTTAACATCCTGACAAGTGAAAATCAAAATTACTCTGGAAATATTTCTATTTTCTTATGCGGCTTTTTCAAATGTGCTAGTTTGGTTCTGAGGAGGACTTTGGGACCTAGCATATCTCAGGATAATATGCAAGGCAGAGGATGCAGCAAAGCAGAGAAGCACAGACTGAATTTTAAGCAGGTGAATTCTATTTCTCTCTGTTGTGTAATGATCAGAGTCAACAAGTGAGCACAAAGACAGATTGGCAGGTCTAAAGCCACAGAGGTGGCAGAGGTGAGAGCCCTTTGCTACGGCTTCCCAAGCTAACTCATTACTCATTAGATGTTATAACTCCTCAGCTTGCTTCTAAACCTGCCCTGTTTACCCTTATTCAGAGAGGAGATTATTCTGAGCTGTTTTAAGATCACAAGTACATCTTGCTCCAGTACCTTCAGCCTGATGTTCCTTTGCATGCTGTAGAAACTCCAGAGTGTATGTGTATATAAATATGTACACACATATATAAATGTATTAATAAACCTTTCAGACTTTCACTATGACTCTAGCTGGAATATACTTTCCACCTTTGCTTATATGGTATTCAAAATGTATCAGGTTAGGTTCAATTTTTGGGCTTCACTGAAATTAGACTTACTGTCTCCTTGCTGCTTGTAAAATTTCTGCATATATAAGTTATCTGTGGCATGACAAATAACTGTGTGACCCCTCACCTGCAGCACGGTGCCGTGTGCCCGGCGCGGGACGTGCTGGTTGTGGTGGCAGAGCTGGGACGTGGCTGCGTGTTCGGAGGGTACAGGGTGTAGGAACGTGTTAATGGAGCTGGTAGGCTGCATCCTGCTGATAAAAACGAGGCAGCTCCACATGAACCTCTTTTGGAGGGAACCTACAGTCCTCCTAAGCTATTTAGAGCTTATCAAAAATTGCATGTTATTATTAACAATTGTTATGTGTTAATGTAAATTCTGTAAATACCATTTTAAACCCAAGCCATATAAATGCAAGAGCAATAATTCCTTTTGCATGTTAAAATCATGTCCTGAAGACAGCTATTAATTCATTCCTAGCAGTTCCACCAGTGATCCTTTTTGGATTTTTGAACTTTTTCTCAAATTGCTGGTATTAGAGCCAGAATAATGGCTTAGGTAAGCTGCTTTGTGGCAATTCCTATATAATATAGCCGTGGTATTTGTCAGTTTTCATTCAGAACACAATAGGACAAATGTAAATATATTGTATGCAAATATACAATCCTCACGCTATCAGGATTGCAGATGAATTGATAAAAGAAGGTGTAAGTCTGTTGCCAACCTCTGAGTAAGGCCAAACTTGGCTTCTGAGATGACTTAAGTAGTCCAGGTTTATCCCTCTGGTTCCTTGATCTGATCCATGCATCCTGCTGCGAGATGTCACGGTGAATTGAGTCTACAAACCTGACAAGATCAAAGCATTCCAGTCGTAACAAACACAAGGATTACTGCAATCCCTCCAAGTGACTGAAGAGCTTAATTCTCCTTCATCGGGTTACTTAAACCTGAATGACCCATTGAAATTACTGAGGCTGTGTAAATACATCTTAAATATGCTGTTGTATGCGAGTCTCAAATGGCATCTTGTGAGCAGATTGTCTCTATGATTCAGTTTCTCTCTTCTTTGAATAATAATAATTTTAAAAAATCTGCCTTTTTGCTGTTAATATAGACAAATGAAAACCTGTGATAGAACTACATCGTTTCATACTTAAGTCCTATTTTTTTTCCTATTTCCCAGCTCTCCATAGTACTGAGTTGTTTGAAGAAACCATTAAGTTAGAGTAACTGGTCAGCAGGCAAGAGATGCAGTACTGTAGATTTTCATGTACACTTCAGAATAGGGGTAATTCAGCAATTCTGTAATTCCTTGTTTACAATGATAGAGTCACAAGAAGATTTTAAGGTTTTAATATAAATTACATTAGTGAAGACATTTTCCACTTAACTTTAGGGTAATTAAGATGATGTAAGCAAGTATCTCTTGTTGGTACCTCATTTACATTTCTGTCAAATACCTCTTCCTGGTGCAGCAAGTAACTTAGGAAAGTCATTGACTCAAAATTTAAAATGACAGCAAAGGACATAATGATATAAGCTGATACGTCGCATATTTGAAGAAACATTTTATTTGAAACAGCCTTTTTTTGGCAATGATGGAAGCAGCATGTGTGGATGCCAGTATCTTACTATGGTTATGGACTATAACGTATAACACCAGAAGGACCATAATGTATCATCTCATATATCACTGAATTGAATTGTATATAATATCAGCTGTTAATTTGACAGATAAGATTCCACTGTAATTAAACTGTATAGTGCAAAAGAAAATTTATATCTAAGGCTTTTTAATATATTCACTCTTCTTATGCTTTTAGGGTTGTTTTTGTTGTCGTTGTTTGGTTTATTTTGTTTTTAATTTGCATATATGCTCCTGCCTGAAATTACCGTGCTTGGTAACTAAGCCAGAGGCATAGAATTGATTCATTGTTTTCCCAACAAATTACCTATTCCTCAAAGAATGAGTTTTGGAGAAGCCACGGGTTTTCATGAGTTTGGACTGATCTCAAGTGAAACAGGAATAAGAAAGAACATAGTTTTGGAGATGGCAAATGTGAATTTCAAGCTGGGCTTATGAAAGGATTTGTCACCCAACTTTAGATACTTCAGATAGATATTCAGTTAGGGTGTTGTGTGCAAGTAAATACTTTATATTCTGGTTGAAATGCATGTGTAAAATTACATGCATTTGAAACGCATTTGCAAAATGACTGATATCAAAAGATTAATCAAAATGATCCTTAAATGTTTTTAAAATTCTGAAGTAGTTAGCAGTTAGAATTTATCAAGAAAATGTCACCAAAAAAAAAAATTTACAAGAACTCATCCTTGAGTATTCTAGGGTGAGGTGTCTTACACATTGTAACTCCAGTCAGGCAGATTGGAGTCCAAGCAGGCAGATTTCTCCTGCCTCCAAATCAGGCAGAAAGGCAGTCTAAATATTTGGCAATTCTAATAAACCATTCAAGGAAACTACCTTATATCTCTGCTGTTTTGTGAGTAATATGCAGGTCCCTCTCTAAGCTTAGTTTTTCATTTCTAAATGTACTTGCTTTTGTTGAAGTATCCAAATCAAAAAGAAATACTGCATTTTTCATATCTTGAAATGTTTATTTTTTAGTACTGCCAACAACAATTATTTACTTTCCTCTAATCAGGTATTAAATTAAAATATTATTGCTGTGGGCCCATGGTTGTTTCTGATAGACTTATTTTATTTTTGTTACAACTATTTTATCTTTTGTATGGCAACTACTGATTTTTATGTTCCTGTTAAAGCTGTTCTCGTTTAGTGAAAGGCTCTCAAAGTTGAGTAGCTCTGATCTTGTCATGCCTACACAGATGCTATAAAGGACATCTCTAATTGCCCATTTTCCAACCCCTTCTGCTTTTTCTTTACCTGTTTTAGTTTTCCCTGTTTTCATTTTCTTTACCTATTTTAGTTTTAGTTTTACCTAGTTTAGTTCTCCAGGTTTTCCTGGAGAGAATGGCACATTGTTTTATATAAGGAGTATATTTTTAGTAATACTAATATTTATTACTACTGGCAGCCAGTAGTATTATTTCCAGATTCTGCTCAGTCTTTTCATAACTTTCTTATGCTTTCTGCTGCTTTCATTTGCACAGAACTGCATTGCCACTGGACTGCAGATGTTTGTGCAAAGATTTTTTCCTGAACACTTACTGTCTATGTCACTCTCTTGTTTATGTTTTTAAGATTTTTTTTTAATTATCCTGAATATACATTTTTGCAAAGCTGTCAAATATGAATCTTAGTTGTCACTTTATTCTCAAATGCCTTTGGATTGGGCCTTGTGGATTGGCATCTGTTCCAAGGAGCCATTTCTTTCCCAGCATATACACCTTTAATTTATGAATTTGTTTGAGTGCTCCCTTTGAGCTTCACCAATATCAGAAAATATGCTATTTATATAATGTGAAATGAGTGAGTGTATTTTATCTTGCTAGAATTACCTCCCTGAGGTAATGTTGGATGGAAGTAGTTAATTTAGCAACCCTTAAATGTCTTTATCCATTAAAATTTTTCCCTTTTTACTCTTTGTATTATGGGAGTCTGCTTCTCTTGTGAATCATTTTTTTTATCCTATGCTAAATAATTTATGATTGTGCTATGTTTGATTTATTCCTCTTTTCAAAAATACTCTTCTTCCAATTTTACTTGCTTATATTTCTTTAGGAAAATGCGTAAAACTTACTGTATTGATGCTAAGTACCTTGAAATCTGTGACTATTCTGACAGATTTAAGTTCCATCTGTTCTGAATCAAAAAATGTAATTTTAGTCATTTTTGACTTGCATTCACAAGCTGTGGGGTTGTAGTAACCCCACTTTCCAAAACTTATAATTAGCTAGTGTTTGGTATGACTTCTTGAATGGTAATAGTGGAATTAGTATCACATTTATTGTTGTTTTGTAGCCCCAGTAATTTTATCCCGAATTCAGAAGTTAAAATTATCTCTGGGGAGAAAATTCCAGATCTGAGATTTTATCCTGTAAGTTGATTAGAAGGGTCTCCTCAAATGACTGCTAGCTGTGCCATGAAAGCAACTTAAGGAGTATTTTCTACTCTAATGCTGCTAGATTTGTTTGTGTTGGTGTATTTGAAGTATCCATTGTTTGTTTATTATTATTATATTAGTTTCTTCTTTAATATTTGTCAACAGTAAGCGCTTAAAGCTCCCTCCCTCTTGCATATCTATAAGTCAAGGTGTCCATTCAACAGTGGGACAGAAAGGCTAATATGTTCTTTGACAAATGCTTGGTGTGATATATTTTTCTTTCAGAGAAAAGCTCTGTATTGTTCATATACTGTAACTAATACAAAACCATCTCTTTCAGATGTTTTTCCTACAGTTATTGTCTATTAGAAGAGCATATTATGTTATTTGTTTTTTTTCTTGGCTTTCCATCATCTGGAGATTGGAGTCTTACTGTTTCTCTGTGGACCATGAATGATTAAATTCTTGTATCTTGATTCTGTATGTCTTGCAGCACTAGAGATCTAGCAGACATATGTACTTGTTTGACTAGATATCTAGTAGCCTATGATCTAGTCTTATAAGTGCAGCACTAGAGATCTAGCAGACATATATACTTGTTTGACTAGCCTATGATCTAGTCCTATAATAAAGCTTTTTACTTGCAAAGGATTGGGAAGATAGATTAACTTTGAAGTGCATGAATGTAAGAAAAGGAACACATTGTCTAAAAGTGGACACAACAAAGATAGCATTAGCGGAGCTTTTCTGCACAATTACTGACACATGAATGCATTTAATCCTAACCTGCGACAGCCTTTGTTATCTCAGTCTGGACCTGAAATTGCCAGCTGTGCCATGCTTCCTTGGTAATTATGTAACATGGACAAATATCCACTGGGAACTAGGACAAGAGTTCCAAAAATCTTGTTAATTGATCCATGAATTAGACATAAACAGTGGTCTCTAGGCATGCATAAACAAGAGCATGGAACCTCGTCTTCTGCTTAGAGCCTTCCTGCCTTCGTCTATTGCCTCATACAGTCTCTTGGAAGGGGAACCCCTAAATAAAAGTGCTAGCTACATAATATACATAATATACATAATATACATTTTTATTTACTGTCCATTGACATTCTGGCCTGTATCGTCTGTTCACTGAAGTTTGCCAAATAAAATGCTTTATTTTCTTCTACTGCATGAACTTTTGCCCTGTTTTGTTGTTCCAGGAGGAATTCAGTGCCCAAATAGTAGTGCACTACAGGAAACACGCAGCTGTAACGAACACTCTTGCACTGTGTATCATTGGCAGACTGGACCATGGGGACAGTGTATAGAGGATGCTTCTGTGTCTGCTTTCAACGCGTCTGCCAGCTGGAATGGGGAGCCCACCTGTGCTGTTGGGATGCAGACAAGAAAAGTAATCTGTGTGAGAGTCAACGTGGGACAAGTGGGCCCAAAAAAGTAAACTTCAATTGAAAAAAAAAATTGTATTGCAATTACCCTAGTATTTTGCTTCTTTCAATGCGTATGATCAAGATGACTCCATGCAAAGACACAATACTCCCTTGTCTTTGTCATCTTTTAGAAGTACAAAACCAAAGTTACAGGGCTGTGAAGTATCTTTCTCACTCCTGATCGCAGTGTTCCTGCTCACCACTGACTAATTGCTAAATCTAGCTGGCCCCTTCACTTCGTCAGGTCAAGCCAAGATAAAATGCTTGGGGCCAGTGTGTGGTGAGCAGTGCAGCACCACTTTAGAGATCCTCAAGTGAGCTTCAAGCAGAGCTGCATCCGTGTGAGTTAGTGCAGAGCCAGGCAAACATTTTACTTTGGGGCTAAATATTGTACATAGGTAAGTGCAGCTGCCCAGGAGCAGAGCAGTGAGCTCACACAGTGCATCTGACACGGCAGTGCAGACATCAAGCTAGTTTGAAAACCTTTGTGTAGAGGGCCGAATAATTTACAGTTAAATATATCAAGAGGATTAAATACAGAATAGCTGCTAGTAAAATGAATTTGATACTATCTCCAAAGAGTTTGTCAGTGTCTAAATACATCTTATTTAGGAGAGACTCAGAGCTGAAATAGCTGAGAGCTGGGATCTTTCAGAAAGTTCCTGAGTCAGCTATTTTCACACTAAATATTTGTACAATGCCTGTCATTTCTCACTTTGTTCAGCAATACTAATTTCTAATTTACTTTAAATGGAAATGTGGAGAATAGTGCTAGCACAATCAGGAAACTAAATTGTTGTATGTGTACATTAAGCTGCTATTCTATCCTGTCATATGATACCGTTATATCTTTCAGTTGGTAGCCAGATTAAAAAAAAATGTAGTGATTTATCTTCTTATTTTTAAATCTGCTGTTAATGTCTTTGCCTTTGATTTGACCTTAAATTCTGGGGAGAAGGACTGTTGTATCATAAATGAATCCTGTGAAATAAGAACAAAAAATGTTGGTTGGTCCTTCAAACTGTCACATTAAGATTGGTCGATCGTTTCTACAGAACAAGACATTTGACATGAAAATCTAAATAAGAACCTTGTTTTAAACTTGCCTTAATAAAAAGGATTACTTTGGTATGATATAATCAATACTATTGGCCTTATCTGCCTCACAAGTTACAGACTTCAGCTCATATCACTTCTGTTTAATTTGACCTTGAATAAGGACTGCAGAAAAATCAATACATTGCTTTAAGCCACATATACTAAACACAAGCAGTATAAAAGATAGAAATTGTGTTCTAATTGAACTAATTGCCTTGTCCAAGGATCTGAAGAGGGATTGCAGTGCTTAATGCTCCTGAAAGATGAAGTTCTGTGTGAAACAGTAAATACATACAATTCAAACTTTTTGTAGCTTAATAGTTACTGTAGTTCTTAAAGGGAAAAAAGTAGTAAGCCAGTGTTCAGTACTTTTCAGAAACATGTTCATTTTTAACCCTAGAGAAAATTTCTGAAAACACAGTCACTGTATGTAAATGGTGGCAAATCATTTTTTAAAGTGTGTTGACTTTATGATACATGCATATGTATTCTGATCTCCTGAATCCCGTATAAACTAAAAGGCACAATTTATCTTGAAAATAGAGAGAGGGGTAAGAGGACCTTGTTATAACCAAGAAGCTGGCACTGGTTCACACTGGTGGATCATATTTGGAGAAGTTTGTGCAGATGGACAAGGAAATGCAGAGGCAGCTGATGGAAACCCTGAAGTAGCAGACACTACAGTTGAAGACTGCATTACTGCAAAGCTGCAGCTTATTTTCCTTCCCCTTCTCGCCCCTGCTCCTCCTTCCCCCCGGACACAGATGTCCTTCTACCTCGACTGTGGGGAGCACGTGTTCCCGGCAGTGCTAGTTCAGGCCAGCTTGCCTGGGCTCCCACCAGCCTGGCGGGAAAGATGCTTCGTGCAAGCCAGGCTCCCCTGGCTCCCAGTCCAACTGTAAAATTGTCTCTCGTCTCTGTGGTCCAAGATCTGCAGCCACCAATGGGAGGAAAAACTGATAATAATTGTGCTTTTCTGCAATGAGACAAAAGCTCCAAAATGCACAAGTGATGTTTTCCTTACCTCTTTATTTAAATTCTCTTAAAGATTTGCATCTGCAAAAGCTTTTTTTTTTTTTTTTTTTAAACAACCAACAACCAGTATTGCAGCTTTGAGAGTTTCATTTGTAGTGAGAACATGGCAACGTGGAATGATGAAAATGGCCTGCACTAATGAGTCCCATAAGTGGCAGTCCTATAAGCCTTTCTTCTGTAATAATAAAGTCTCCTTTTAAAGCAAGCAAAGTTTTCTGTCCCTGCTGACAGTCTTTCATAAGCTTATTGATCTGGTCATTTAAAACCTTTTTCTGATTTCTGTCATCATTGTGACCAGCTTCATGTGACCTAATTGTTCTTGTGACCTATTTGTTCTTGTGTTAGCAGTCCTGCATAGTTTAAATATCCCTCCCTCCAGAGTTTATGGTAAATTTACAAAGAGCTAGAAATATGTTTTGCTGAGATAAACTAGAGAACCTTTCTTTGCAATCTCTTGGAAGTACAAAAATGAAACAAAAAAGGCAGAGGTTTGAATGGTGAAAGAGGACATATGGCTGCTTTGTATTAAATGCCCAGGTTTAGAAGACACTGGGTTTGGGCTTGCTTCTGCCATATATCAGTTTTTATTTCTGAACTGAATCCTGGCGAACTGTGGGCAGCTAGCACTCCTATCAAGGGCCTGCAGGCATTCAGTCTCTCTCATGATTCCCTGCTTCACTGCAGAATGATTGTTTATTTGATATTTTTTCTTCTTCCATTTGCAGATGTCCAGAAAGTCTTCGACCAGAAACAGTGAGGCCGTGTCTGCTTCCTTGTAGGAAAGACTGTATCGTCACTCCTTTTAGTGACTGGACATTGTGTCCAGCTTCGTGTCAAGAGGGTAAATTAATCTATTATAGTGTAGTGGATGCATTTAAAGAAAAAAAAATTAGTCTGGCATGTTCGTACATATTTGTACCAGGATATATATATCTCCTGACAGAACTATTTCACTTTTCCTGCTCTAGTTTATCCTACCTCAAAGAAAGTGAATGCTAATAAAAATCAACAGAGTTTCAGCTGATGTTAATAGTCACACTTTAAAAACAGTGCAGGTATTTCTTGAATTTTTATGAAATCACACATAAAGCTGAAGTGTTGGCTGACTGATTACTGCCTTTCTGCCTTAGCCCTTTTTCTCTTTTAAGTTTAACAGGAGGTATTTTTCTAATATGTACTACTGTAGACATAGTCAACAACGTAATTCCATGTCCATGTGTAATTCCACAGAGTGTTAATACCTGTGTGAGAGGGACATGGTGACTACTCACAGCTACATATTGTCAGGGTGTTAGATACTCTTACATCAAATATACACATTTCAAATGTCACAGTCAAGTCTTTATGCTTTGTAGAGGTCAGAAGCATAAACTCATTTTTACAGTAATTCTTATTAGAGCTTAACATTCTTGCAGATAAAGTAGGGTTAACCTGATTAAATTTATAAACCTTGCAAATGAACAATATTTAGGACTGCTGAAACCAAATCTATGAAATACTTGTTCACTTAAATACTACACTATCTTGGAGCAATATTAACAGTTCTTTCAGACACAGTTTTGTTGGGACAGATTTTTTGGACAGAAGTGCCACTCTCTTCTGCTCTCAATTCTGCATGTTTGTGAATATTGACTACAAATTAGAGTAGGTTTTGCTATAAAATAATAAATGTATAGACTGTTACAACCATGTTGCCTATTCTGTGAGTCCAGTGGTGTTTTTGTACTTCACACACAAGCTTCATTTCATGGTCATCACTCATATATGCTGGTAAGCCAGGCAGCAGCTTCTCTAGGTCTTGCCTGTCCTGCCAGCTCTGAGCTGCTCCAGTCACTGCTTTCCTCGCTGACGCAGGGTCCCATATGAGCTGAAGAGTGGCCAGGTGGTAGAGATCCATTGCTATAATTTTCTCACTGCCTGCTCCTAATTACAATTGTTTGGATAAAGTCCAGCACGTTTCTGTGTTCAGACAAGCAGCAGCTGCTGTAATAACCCACCCAAGTTTGATAGCAGCTAGTTAGCCAAATATCTGCCTTAGAACTCTCTGCTAAAAGAAAAAAAAAGAAAGAAAAGAAAGGAAATCCAATATATTTATATAGTTCCACTTGTGTGTTATGTCTTGCTATGAAAATGAATGTAAATTTGCGAGTTTGTTCTTATTTTTCTGCCTGGAGCTCTGAAGAGGGCTGGAATCAAAATTCCTACAGCAACCATTTGGTGTTAATCATTAATAATGAATAACTGTAATAATTGGAAACAATGAGCTGTAAATTAATCTAGGAGTAGGGAAATAATAAAACTTCACATTTAAATGTGGAATATGCTCTTTAGGAACATTTCTTGTGCATCTAGATACGGTAATGTTGTCCCAGGTGGGAAATGAGGGAGTAGAGAATAGGATTAAAGTGAAGCCTGGATAAAACAAGGAGTATCAGTTAAATTTGCTATACTCCTGGCTGTGGAGATAAGCAAAAGACAATTAGATTTTCTGATTAAGTCATTTAGTCAATGGAAAAAATGTGAAATATAATCATTTCTTTCCTTTAATTTCTATTTTGTATGTTAATGATTAATACAAAATTACCCTATGAAACAGCAGAGTATAGCATCAAACTCATTTAGTTTTTGTTTATCTGAACTGTGTATTTGTTTGTATGGCCTTGCAACTGTTGCTTTCTGTTTAGTTCTGCTTCTTGGACTTTCGCTGAGATTAATTTGTTTTATTGTATCTATTAAGTTTAATTTTCTGCTTATGGACAAAACAGTACGTCTGTTTTATAGGAATTGACTCATGTACCTGTTGTGTTAAATCTTTCTTTTCCCCTAACTACTGTCATTGTGTAAAACAGCAAGATAAATAAGCTCTTCTGCTCTTTGCAGGAGATGTTGCTGTAAAGAAGCAGTCCCGTCATCGGGTCATAATCCAGCTCCCTGCCAACGGAGGCCGGGAGTGCCCGGATGCTTTATTTGAGGAAAAGGAATGTGAAACTCCTCCTGTCTGCCATAGCTACAGGTAGTGTTAATCCACCAGAGCCAACTTATCTATGTTTTTTGAACCTTCAGGAGTGCTTACGTTGAATTTCACTTGTTAAGAAAATGCATAAATAGGGATACATAGCTAACTCAAGATTTCAGTGCAATTACGTAGGCTTAATTGGGCCTATGGTGTATCAAGCTCACTGTGAAAGCTTTTTCTTTTCTTTAAAATGGGTATCTAGTAGCTTGTTTTGTTGCAGTTCTTTGTCAGGAACATTGCAGCTGCTAGGAACTGTCTTTCAGAGTAAATCTTTCCTAGCAACTATTCTGAAATTCTATGTGATTAAAAACATTTATTTTAACTTATCCAAATGGCTGAAATGAAGCCTCATCTGTTAAGCAGAATTGTGTTCTGCTGCCACACAGGAAGACTCTCTCCTCCATACATCATCCCAGAGTCAGCTCCCTACTGAATAGGTCAACAAAGAGACTTTGGTACAATAGGGGATAGGGATACGTAATTGGTGCCAGAAATTTCTGTGGACTTTTCCAGCAGGTCAGGATCTCCAGATCGACTTGATAAGACAATTTTCAGGCAGTTTTGCAGTATCTGTTGTTGCAGGCTGTGCAGTATCTGTGTAGACTTTGTCTGAAAGTCTAGACATACAGCAAGATCTGGCCATTGAGAGAGAAAAAGTTTAGATAGTTCTGTTGAGGTTTGTTCAATTCACTTGGCAAATAAATTCTTTATTAAGTTTTGTTTAGAAGAAAAAGAAATATCTTTGAATTGGAAGCCAATGTTCCATTTCTTCAGTGACTAAATAAGAATACTTGCTAATTCCCATAAAACTACTCTCTATTGCATGGATTTTAATAGGACCTAATTTTATTTTAGCTAAAAGAAATTGGCTAAATCCAAATTGTATCCAGCTGAAAGGTATAAAAGGATGGGAACACAATAATGTGAAGCTACCAAAATGAATATTCTGAACATCCAGGAATGCAGCTTGAAAAATTGTTCTGATCAATATTGAGTCAGAATTTCCACTTTTTATATTCTAGCTGATCCTCATCTATTTAGTACCTTTATGAACAAATATTACTTGACAAATGTTACTAATATTACCACTCTGTAACATACTGAGTAGAATTAACAAGAGTAGCTAGTGAGTAGTAGATAATTTAAAATTCTTAATGTGAGCTGATAATAACATATTTTCTCTATATTCCCATTAGCATTTTTCTGACCTACACACATGCTATGACAGATGGACTCACACACTCAGCTTTGCTCATTCCTTAGTTTAGATATTCAGTAGCAAAGGCCGGGTTTGCAATGAAACTTGGGCTGCAAAGCTGCAAGGTGTTAGCCATCACCTTAAGCATGAGAGCAGCAGACGATTTGAATTGTGAATGCAGTTTTGTTTCTCCCCCACTCTAAATAATTCAAACCACTGTGGATTATTTCAGAACTGTTGCAATAACCAGTCTTCCCTGAATTTGTTACATTTAAGTCTGAGGTATATTGCTGCACTACGACGGAAGTTTGTGAAAGTTTCATAAAAAAATAAGAATGTTCAGGAGAGGGGGAAAAAAAGACAACTTGGGGAAAAGTGGGGAAGGAGAAATATATACACAAACACCAGTGTGTGACACTGTTTACTGCCAAAAGTAGCTCCCAGGACTGTAGGAACCAGAACTCAATGCTGGAGTTCCATCTCGATATTGTATTTGGCCAGCTTCAACACATCTTTCTCTACTGGTAAAGGGAAGGAAATAAAAGTAAATAAATAAATAAGGGAGAAAGAAAGGAAAGTAAAAAGGTGATGAGATTCATCAGGGCTTGACTGGCATTTTAAACTCATCCTTAATTAATGATGAGTTTTTATGCCTTGCTATATGCATTTTTTAACATATTCTGTTGAGCATGCTTATATCCATAGCAAAGGGTTTCTTCTATTGAATTCATATTAAATTCATATTAGTTGTGTATTATTATATGTACTATTCTTTTTTTTGAAATTTGTCTCACATTTTGTATAAATATCTGTTAATGCTTTGTATTAATGTGGCTAGATATGCTTTCTGTGTAGCCTAATTTTGACTGATCAAATTCTGATTATATTCTTTGCTTTGTGTAAAAAGCAAATGATACACACACACGCACACAACTCTCCTATTGCAGTTTGTATTCACTGTATATTTGTTAAATGTCATCAATGCACTACTGTAATGCACCTCTCCACTCCTCTTTCCTTCTCCCTGCTCTCAGTGCTGTGATCATAAAAGATAGAAAAAATTTTACAGGGCAAAGGAAAATGTTCATAGTGTTGGGAACCCTTTGTTATGGATTTTCTATACCCAATTCATAGTAATAAATAGTATCTTGCAGGTGATTAGTATTATCTAGCATTTGTGCTGCCTCAGGTTTGATATTTTGATATTGTTGATATTTTTCCAATTAATTCCTCCCCTCCTTTCAGATGGAAGACCCACAAATGGCGCAGGTGCCAGCTGGTGCCGTGGTATGTGCGCCAGGACAGTCCAGGAGCACAAGAGACATGTGGACCAGGGTTACAAGCAAGAGGTTTGATCCTTTCTTTTCTTTTGATCTTTTACTCTTCAGAAGTCTGTAGGTGTGTGGTGTGGGAAACCTGTGAGAAATACCTAAAACTTTAGTCATTATGACTAAGCACTAATTTTACTTAATTTCATGGATATCAACAAAAGTACTGTCTGCTCATATAGTAGGGAGCATCCCAACCAGTATTCAGCTGAATGAACAACATTCAAATGTTTCTTTATTAAATAACAGTTTTCATTTATATCTACGTATTGATGGCACACTAGAGACTACATTCATGGTATTGCTTGTTCAACTTATTTACCATCCATGTCTGAAGCAAATTTGCAGACATGTTTGTGAAAAGCATGCTTTCAGATGTTAACGTTCTTAACAAAGAAGAAGGAAAGGAAAAAAAAAAGTGTATCACTTTATGTTCTATGACTTGTCATCACCACATCCTTAAATAATTTCAGCTGGAAGGAAGCTCTGGAGGTAACATGGCCCAACCACTCACTGAGAGAACGGCCAGTTTTAAAGTTAGGCGCAACCCAAGCTGGTGCCTCAGATTCTTTCCAGATTCTTTCATTAGGTGACTGTAGGGATTGCTAAGATCCCAGTGTGGGGTTATTCACCTGGGATGGGCAGGACTCCTAGTTATCATCAGTAGACCTACCTAAGGTTTCTAGCAGCCCATCTTTCCAGCCCTGCCATACTGACTGCTCTCCTCAGCTTGGGGATGTCCACAAACCTGCTGAGGGTGCTTTCTCTATAGGTTTTTATAGATGTTAAACAGAATTGACTCTGGAATTAATCACTGAGATACAACACTTAATGGTCGGACATCAAACCAGTGACCCTTTGAGCCCAGTGATCCAGACTTCTTGTCACCAATTTCCATTTAATAACAAATAAATCAGCCAAATACCATCTCCTGTCTTCACAGAGAATTTCAGGAGTTCAAAAGAACTGCATATGTGTGAGTCTGTTATGTAGGGCAGGGAGATCTTTTTAGCTGTTTTAAATAAATCCAGTATGAAAATAATTACAATTCTTACTGTGTTACAGTAATTGAATTGCTTTGAACTACTAGTCAACCCTGAATTTCAGGAGGGTTTTTCACATTTTCTGAGTGCAAACTCCAATCCATTGTAACAATATTAACTCAGCAGATTGCAAAAGTCCTGACCAAGGACATTGCTAACTGCAAAAGTGAAATGTTCTGGTCATTAACTTCCTTGCAGGATTAAAGTAGGTTATGCTATTCTTTTTAAAAAAGTCATAGGGTAAATCTTAAGCTAGTAACTTCTGTCACTTACTCAGAAGGTGTTAAAGGAGATCAATTTAAAGCTTACCACAAAATGTAACCTGAAGGTCTTGCCCAATAATACAAAAGACTTCTGACTGTGGTAGTTCATACAATGGTCTGTTCCGAATGCAGTGTATTTCTAGCAGCCCAGGAGCATACATTCAGATTACACACTGAGAAAATAAGATTTCTGTCTTTCATGGTAGGAGTTAAGGAATAGTACAAAATGTGGTACTTGCATTCTAGAACCTAAATCTATCGCCTTTGCCTCAAAGTCAGTTAACAGAAATAGACTGCTAATGGTAGCATGAAAAAAAAAGTACCATTATTGTATGTTGTTTTTACATACAATATGTTGTTAGTGTATGTTGTGATGTTTTAGAGGTTTTCCTGTAACTGCAATCACACCCAGTGATTGGGCACATCACACACACACATGGAGTAACGCATGGTAGAGTTTCCCTCTGATATTATGCACCAGCTCCTAGAGTTTGATAATGCAAAGGATCAGGCACTGAAGCAGGAGCCTTCTTCCTACACACAGATGCAGTGGAAGTTGGTGGAACTCTCCTGTAGGACACGGCTGAGCAGTAGGATGAGCTGTCCTTAGTTAAGAACCCCAGAAAGAGCTAGGCCTGAACAAATCAGGTGGGTTTTGTGGAATTCTGTAAATGATACCAACTGTTAGTGTCAGAGGAGTTTCTTGTTTGCTCTCTCTTTATAATAACTCTATTTAGTTATAATTTTTATTTTAAAACTCGCAGACAATGTAGTCTCTTCGGGCCTCAGTCCAAGAATATAAATGGGAGTCTTGTCTAGCCTCATCAAGTGAAAAGAGTTATAGGCATATAAGCCTGAGCTTTTTTGGCCCAATATTTTTCTCATTGGTATAACTGATAAAATCTAAGTTCAGATCACATATATAATAATATATTATTGTATAGTAATATATGTGTTACTGATACAATGATGGCTGAATAATAATAGCTGACACAGTTAGCTGAAGGGTTTTATTTTGTGCTCAGTAACCACTGAACTGATATTCTGTAAGGGCTAAAATAAAAGCTAGTTCAATATTCTTTATCTTGAGAAAAATTAAATATTTTCTGGTTTCTTGAACACCTACACAATGAATTTTACTTAGAAATAGATTTTGAATTTTTTCACAAAAGTAACTTTCAATTTGGAAAATATGTCCGTACAATTGTGTAAGATATGGGTTTAAATTTTACTCAGTTTTTAACCTCAAAACTTGCCTTTTGAACACAGATAGTTTGTTTTGGTTAGTTTTATATCAGTTCTCTCCTGCATAGAGCATTAAGTTACTCCTTTTATCCTCCTACATTTCTTTTTTTGAAGATAGCCATGAAGATAGTAATGAATTTTTAGTGGTGCCCGTCATTTTTTCTTTTGTCCCCTGCACAAAGTTTGACTTTATGCAAGATTGCCGCTGAAAGGCAGCTGGCCCTGCAAGCACCTAGCCCTGTACGAGACAGTACTAGAAAGGCTTCATCAGTTTTTGAAATGAGACTCTGGCAGAGATTTCGACTCTCTCCCTGCAGATTCTGTAATCTGTGGAGGCTTCCTGCATTTTTAGCTTTTTGTAAATAAAGTTTCTACAGACTATGGAAAACTTCACATGATAATATGTTGTTAGAAGTTCTGTGCTATATGATCATTTATTAAAGACTGCTTTTTTGATGTAGATGCAAGAAAAAGGCAAAACTACTACTCTGCAAGGACTTCTAATTGTATTCATCGCAAAGTCAGGAAATGCTAAACCTTGAGAAATGAAACTCTTTTGGTTTAATATTTTGATACTACATTTATGATGTGATACTTGGATACAAATATTTTGAATAGCATATTTAAGCATTTGCTGGCAATCATTCTGTACAAATGCTTACCATATTGTGAAAATGTACAAATAGCAGCACTTCAGTCAAAAAAAGAGTTCTCTGATATTTCTTGATCCTCATGAATACAGAAATCACAGTCATTCATCTATTGGCAGTAGCTTACCTTTGGTGATGAGGTAAAGCTATAATCTTATAGAAGTAATCTCAGCACTCTCCTTTATTGGTGGATTGTCCTTTTATTTTGTATTGATATTCAGCAGAGCAGGTAATTGCATTCTTGTATTTGGGAACAGTTCTCAGTTCTTCTTTTTCAGTGCTAGGAGATGTTGCCAGTGCTATTAAATTATCCTATTTCTGATGTGACTGCCTACACACAAACACTATAACACATAGTATAGCACCAAATGTGTTAAATGTGAAGGAATGTGTGCTGGAGAACAGGCACATCTGAATAGACAATAATTAGCAGTTTATTCTGAACGAAATGTTCTCTACTGTTTATGCTTTAGTTAGGTAGAGGTAATTACTTTGTTAGGAAAAACTAGAAGTTAGAAGTCATTAAAAATGGCGGTTAACATGTTTGATCATAACAGCCTATGACAGCCTACAGCATATGCATGCCTTGCTTTATATCACTACCTTACTATTCACATTTCCATTCTTCAGCTTTTTTATCACATTGCTCTTGCTTGACGGACAAGATACTCGGGTGAATCATAAAATTGAGAACTGTGATTCATTCTTAAAGACAGCTCTGTCTCTAGCTGTCCTGCATACTGAGGGTTTTGATGCAAGTGTCAGTTTAAATGAACACGTCACAATTTGAGAACATGGGTCAAAGCAAGGGCAAAAAAAAAAAAATGGTGGGTATTTCTTGGTTATCAAGCATTTTTTAAGCATTTTTAAAGATAGATGTTCCTTATTCTTGCTAGTGATGAACAGCTATTTACAGCTAAACCAGAGCAGAATAACAGAGCGTTTAACATCTAAGGAGCAAATTCATTGTTGTAGTCATAGTTATTGCGGTGAATCTTCATTGTGAAAGAAGATTTGCTACTGTATCCCTGGTAAAAGGCCTCTTAGCAGTAGGTGAGCAGAGCAAGAATGTATTCTATAACTTACAGTAACTTAAAACTTCTATCTTTCTGTTGTTTAAAACCCCTTATAAAGAGTAATATATCTACATCAGTGAGAAGTTTGAAACTTGTGTTTGATCCTACCCAACAAGAAATGGAAAGAATAGCCATTGTTAATTAGCAAGACTAAATTAGCCAGATATCTTGATGAGTAACGGAAGAGTCACCTGAAACCCAGGGGGCAAAGGCATGGAGGACCGGCAAATACAAAAATAGAAAAACTGGAACAATAAAAAAGGGCAAATTCTTGATAAAACCAGGCTACCAGTATTTAATGAAAGTGGTGTGGACTATAAACCTAGGCAAAATTAGAAGTTAGAAATGGCTGTTTACATGGAGATGGACCATTTTCAGCTAGGGTATCTGCTCAGCAATGCAAAGTCTTTCTAGTTCTTTAGGCTGATGTGTATCACCACAAAGGTAATTTCAAAAGGTCTGGTCTGTGAGATAGGTTAATATATAAAGCTTGAAACTGTGAACAGTTTAAGCAGGTGTACCTTCTGCTGACCGCCTGCCTTAAAACATCTGTGACGAGTAAACTTCAGGTTCTGTAAATTCTGAATAAAGTTGTAAATACATTTCAGAAACATTTTGAAGTGCACATAAAAGCCTAGGAAATGTGCTTGCATATTAAAAGTAAGACTTGTTGGACTGAATCCCAATTCTTGTCAAGAGGACATGTCACAGATGCAAAGACGTAGTGCCCAAACTGCAGTAGTCTGCTCACGTCATGATGTCTGTGGATGGATTGATGCACAGGGAAGCACTGTCCCAGCGACTCCAAAGAGATATACGAAAGGATATGCTGCCTGCAGTCCTTGACACCATAAATCTGCCTCAGAGTTTTGAGAGAGGGACAAGATGAAACTGTGAACAGTGCCAGTATCCTATAGTAGAGGAGGTAGGTTATTTATAAAAATTTAAGCAGAAGCTTAAGTAACTTGCCTGCTAAAGGAAGTAGCTCTGAAAAGCTGCGCTTGATGTAGCTGGAAATTCGCTGCTGTTAAAGGTCTTCTGGTCCTGAGCACTCTCACTGCGCTTGGCTCTTGGTGGTGTATGAAGAGAAAATGAGCTCGGGGAATTAGAGGACATGTCCTGGGATCATTGTGAGTTCCAAGGGGGTCTTGCAGGGATGCAATGGAGCAGCTCGAAAGCAGCAGCAGCGAGGAAGGCAACCCAGGCTTTCCTCTCACTATTGCTGGTGCCGAACAGCAACTGGACAGCATATCTGTCCTGGGGATGCTTTTGGTCCTCGGCAGCTTCATGGAAACCATGAGAAAGAAGACTCCTTCATGAAGAAGGAGTGCTGCATGAAGGAACCATAAGCTACTGTTTTAATGTAGTTAACACTGCTAGCAGAGTGCCCAACTATCCGCTTCGTGTTTTGGTCACTGCAAAAGACAACAGGCAGCTCCTAGCTTTATAGTAAAGTAAGAATTTGGACAACAGTACTCAAAAGCAAATGATTAGGCTAAGAAATGGAATTCTTGTTGACAAAAAGACAAAATCTCCAGAGAACCTTTCACAGTGATGATATGATAGTATTCTCTTTGGCACATTAGAACCTCTCAGCTTGGCATTTTTAGGAAGTGGTTGGTACATGCTCCTTGACATACTTAGTGAAAGAAATATTTCATCATGCAGTTGTCCAGTCTGCATGACCTACTCAGGCAGCTAGAGACGTCAATGAAGCCGCAGCCTGGGCGACATCGATGTTAAGGGTAAGAAAAGTCAGAGTCCTGGATTAATTCTGATCTTTCCACAAATGAACTAGAATTTTGCTGCTGTAGAAATACTTAACAAATGAAAAAATAGTAACACAATGTGTTGTAAAACAAAGGATTTTGGAGCACTTTTTTTGCAAAGTACTGTAATTTTTAGTTGTTGGGGTCACTGAATCTCACATCACTTTGAAATGCTGGTGATGGGATTGATGGGAACAACACTGGCAAGATTTATATATATAGGCATGCACATAAAAAAAAGCTTGTTCAAATATAGTCTCACTATTTCATTAAGCCAACAACAAAATATATTAGCCTGTGGTCCCCTATGGTTTAGTTCAAGCAATGCTATCAGATAATACTTTAATTACATCAAAGTCCCTTGTCTAGAAAATTTAGACTGCCATTTATTTCACATTGTCCTTTGGGGAGATACTAATTGTTAAATACAACAACAATTTCATAAGTGGACTATTTTTGTGTTAAATTTGATTTTTCTGTTAGTTGTATTCTTAGCTTTATATTTTCGCTTAACTGTGATTTTTACTTGTGCTTAACTTGCTAATAGAAGAATAGAAGAACATTCTTTCCACTTACTCCTCGTGTCTACTATAAATATAACGTGGCTGTATAGGTAAATTAATCAGTCTGGGACTGCATGGCTTTATATCAGTGGAAGACATTGCTACTTATAGTGAGTTAACCATTGATCTCAGCTGACTTTTACAGAATGTAATTAGGGAACCATGGATTTAATCAGAGACACCAGAGAAGGGTTTGCCCAAATGAGATTGTGTGTGGCAAAAGTAAGCAATGTTCTTAACACCTCCATTAACCATAAAGGCATTACAGAGGTGGAAAAAATATGCATTAATGGTATATATACAGTTGTAAAAAAACCCTGCTTTAAATCATGGAAAAGCAATCACTTTTCTAGTGTTCACAAGGATGTAAACACTCAAATAGATATCTGAATCTATAGAAAAGTAGTTGTAGAGGAAAAGATGGAGTCAATCATTCAGACCTTGCCAAGCAGGAGTATTATGAATAGTTATGGAAAGGTAGTGTGAAAATTAAGATTCATGAATTGTTTTGGTATGCCAAGCTGTCCTTTAATAAGTGCTGTAATTAAGGTGAAATATTTAGGTCTCAAGAATGCCATTTTTTCCTACTTTGATTGCTACAGTACAACTCACAGTTAATCTGGGGAAAAATAAAGTGTTATTCATCTCAAGGGGAGCGTCTCACTTGATGTAAATTACATGCACTGTTATAATTCTGATAAAAAAATATGACAGCTTGAATACCTGCTCACAGAGTAATGTTTAATAACCAAGAAAGATCTGGATATGAATACTGGTTTTAGAAAAACTCAGTTTAGCTAGAAAGTATATTCTCCCATGGACAATGTTTATAGCCTATCAAAAGGCTAGACAGATACCAGTCTCTGAAAAGCAGTATCTAAAATGGGTATTAAACTTTCAGAGGTGGTTATTAAAAGTTATTGGGTTAATCTGTGGGCAATCATTTAGCCCTTGACCTTTTTCACTGCTAAAAATGGTGGCCTGTATCTCTGTGGCAGCCCACTTAATACAATTAGTCTTACTGAGGCTTGTGCATGCCAAGGTCAACCTCAAGACAGAGGGTTTCAGTTTGACCTCTGTGGATTTGAACATAGCGGAGCTTGTCTGAAATGTGTTTTTATCTCATGGCACATATGATGCACATTATTAGCAGGAAGGAATCTCTCAGAAGAATGAAAAGCCATAGCCTAGGCTTGAGCTTGAAGATACTGGTTTGACTTGTATTTTTACATAATATTTAGACAAGTATAGAAGTCCTACAGTAGGTACAGTTAACACGTTATTAAAATAACTGTAGAGATTTTCAGATTGTCAGGTTTTCCCCATTGAATCACTGTAATTGTATCTGAAGAAAGGTGTTTGCTCCCCATAGAAAACGCACCAAAATAATAGGATTTTATAGAATAATTGCATTAGACAATGTACAGCTGGTCAGTCCACCAGTAAGCTCAACTAGATGCAGTACTGAGCCTATTATAAACAGCGCTGGCAGCCCTACTCCAAAGGGCAGTCAAGGATCACAGAAGTTGTTTGCTTAGTGTCTTTGGAAAAACAAAAACCCCTCCTATTCAGTATGTTCTATCACAGACCCAGGGCAAAACAAATCATGTAGGGCCTTTGGATATGGATAAGTAGGCAAACAGAATTGAAAAAGAACATACAGAACATACAGTCTGGATCGTACAGTTCAGCTTGCTACAGTCATCATGAAGTAGAGATTTAGCCTAGAACTGTCAGAAGAAAAAGACTTTTAAAAAAAAAAAAAATCTTTCCTCACATCCTCACATATTCTTCCTTTTTTCACCCTTCTTTACAGGCAGTTTTCTGCTTTATTTTGAAACTTTGCATTTAAACACATTTTTTATCCAACAGTTGAACCTGACTATGCCGTAATATTTGAGTTAGTAATATATTTTTTTTCAATTCACATGCCAATAAAACAATTATTGTCAGTACAATAAAAGTACTAGGTTTAAATTATGGAGTAGAGCATAATATAAAACATGAGATTCCCCCAGGTGTAGAGAATGAAATATTGTGTTTGGATGCAATATTACTGCAACAATTGGAGATCCAAATTACTTTCACAGTCGTTATGAGATATGGCACATAGGGTGTGCTGGCAGACACTGAGAAGCATAAATACTATTCCACTGTATAAAAAATACAACTAGAAGTTTCCAATCTTGTTACTGCATAATAAGTTCTTAGCTGTTTTGGGCTAGGAAATAAAGTGAGATTTACTGAGGTGTGTGATTTTTATACATTGAGACAATGTATTAAAAAAAAAAAAAAGGAAACTTATCCAGGAGGTACAATAATAGAGAGCTGTTAAAACTGTGCTGCTTGATGTGAATGAAACAGCCCTATTTGCTGTAATAACTGAGGATGTTCCACCAACTTTTTCTTCTGACATTTAAAGTTTTCTTAAGAAACCTTTTTTATTTCTTCTTATAAGCAGGAAGCTTTTGTTTGGGACATGGATATTCTATTATAAACAGCAGTGCCCCCATTGGTCGATACTGCACCCTGGCAAACATGCTTTGCTCTTCAATCAAGACTAAAAATTTAGGACTAAGAATTGCTGAAGAGTGTCAGAGAGCAAGACTGCTGTGAGGACTTATGCAGTCTGTGATATCCAGAACTCAGATGTGTTTCTAAATTTTATGTCTGTCCCTTCTCTAAAATCTATGCTACTGATACGCATTTTCAGCTTTATGGCTTATGCACTCTTCAGTACTTAAAATAGTTTGTAATGTCTGAGTCGTCTCTGTAGTAAGAATGAGAGTATGGAAAGTGGTATGCTGTAGTAGGTATGAATAACACTGTGCAACCTCATATGATATTTGCAGTTGTCTTTAAGGTTTTTGGTCCTGCTAAGTATTGATAAAGAACTAGTAATTTAAACATAAACTCAAATAGTCACTCAGAATTTTTTGCTTGTATTCATTCAAATGTAAAAGACAAATGATTGCAGGTGGTAACTTGTTGTATCACACAGGTATTCTGGCCTTTCGGTGCAATTTTAGTGGTAGAAGATTGTTTGATTTACTAAAAAGAATAGTAACGCTCATGAAACTCACTGAATTTAACTTTGTCCTTTTTTGCTTCCAGCAATTACTTGTCGCAGACAGGATGGAGGACAGGCTGACATCAGTGAGTGCCTTAAATATGCTGGCCCACTCCCGTCCTTAACACAGACATGCCAGATTCCTTGCCAAGATGATTGTCAGTTTACAAACTGGTCAAAGTTTTCTTCCTGTAATGGGGACTGTGGAGGAGTCAGGACCAGAAAACGCACCCTTGTTGGTAAGAATAACAAGAAAAATGATTTATCTTTTTCAGTGTTTATCTTCAAATGATATGTATTCTTCAAAAACATATTTTTTTTGCCTTTATTTATCTAATAATCTGCAGGCAGGTCTTGTGACCTTGTGAACAGTACAGGAAATATAATTCTCAGACACCAGCTTGATGGTGTAAAACGTCACCCTCCCATGTGACATGGATAGCAAGTTATGCCAGGAAATCCAGAACAATTTTGTCTTGTTCTGGAGAAGGCGGTCTCTTGAAATTTGCCACGTCACTCTTAAAAATCAGTTTCAATCACGAACAAATTTTAATTTAAATTTAATTATGTCAAGATGAGAAACTAGGTTCTACATTTGGAGAACAGATAATGAAAAACAAAGCAGTGACAGCACCTATGGGCTAGGTGGACTTTGCTTGATTTGTATGCATTTTCTCAGGTAGGAATTTAGGGGATGAGTTTGCAATTTGATTTCTTGGTGATTCCAGAGTCAAGCTACACCTTACTGGTGTTCTTTCACTGCATTGAACTCTTCTTTGAGGGAAAAAGCTCCACATTCACTAGGATGCCGTTGTGGGCTTTGTGTAATGAAGAGCTTTATAATTAATTTAATTAGAATGTCAATTTGCTAATGAAGAATTGATTGTATGCAGAGATGCTTTAAGAGAACAACTTGTCATTGACCAGGCATTGGAGGCACCTCACTCCTCAGAAAGCCATTCATAAAATTCAGATGCTTATTCCTAAAAAACAAAGCAGTAACAATTTCTGACTTAAGCTTCTGTTGACCCACTTATTGCCTGTTACATACTTCTATATTACACAATACAATATATTATGAATATATAGTAGAAGCAAATTGCGCTGGAGTTGCATCCCAATTATGGCTCTTCCTTACAGAAGCCTAAGAGAAATTCAGTGGGGGTCTTTCATCTCCTCTCTCCTGATTTCATGATTGCATGAACACAGTTCATAATCCTTTGACTGTGGAAACACAGAGGTCACATATATTGTCAATATTGTCTGGAATAGACATATGAAGTAAACTATTTTGGTGTATCTTTGTCCTTGGTGTACTGCCAGGTTTTGGTTTCTGTTTACTTTGCCTTTTCTTTTTATTCTGGGTGATAATTGGGAGAAAATATCTTGTTGAAATTCCCCTGGAGCTTCTAATAGGATATAGGAATTTGCAAACCCTGGCAATTTACAAGGAATTTTGCAAACCTTGGAGGAAAAAAAAAAAAAAAAAAAAAAAGGATTTGTATTTCTCCATTTGGAAATACATTATTTCTCCAACTCTTTTTATTTTAATCTGCCTCTTTATTTCCTTTGCATGGAAGGAGAGGGATAAGACACACTTCACTCCTAAATTGCAAGTAAAACTTTAAGAGTGAGTGTTGGCCTCCACCACAGCGTTTTTTGCCAGTTCACTAAGTGGGGGCCCAGCAATATAATTGGGATCCGTGCAATGGGACACAGGCCATCTCCCCTGCACCATTCCCTTGTAAATCAGATCCCGGGACACTGAATAATTCCTAATCTTCAGGCAGGCTCACTGCAGCTGCTTTGTAACACCATTGAACATGCTGCCAGATTTGCTTCCATGGGGAAAAAAAAAAATCCCTAAATAACATTTTTTGCTTGTTTGCTTTATAAACAAAGCAAGAAGAGTCTTGTCTCTTACCACCATGTTAGCGCTTTGAGGCGTTGCCCTGGGCTGAGCTAAGCTGCCCTGTCAAACCTGTTAAGACTCAGGTTTTGCCTCTGGTGTGTCCTGGGTTGCGTGGTGTTATCCAGGCTAATGTACAAAGCCAACAGGGGAGAGTTCATAAACGTTTCTGATGAGATGAGGAGTGAGAGAGGTGAACTGTTAGTATGCAGTTGTGTTACCAAGGAAGAGAAGCTTTTCCTTGTGAGGTACCTGCTTCTAGTTTTAAAAAAGACAGTCCATAACAATATAAGCGTAAAGTACTGTAAAGTCATATTTGGTTTTGAAAAGCACAAGTAGGGCAGAATATTAATTTATAGTCTCATCAGAGTAATGGACATTTTTAAAACTACTCTTGCAAAGACTCCTATGATAGTAGATGAGTTGTCCAATAGGGAAATACACCTAGGATGGAAACTAGAGCACATGGTACTGAAGAGGAAATCCTTGGTGGGTGGGAGGTGAATGGTCTCTGGTCGGAGAAGGAAAACAAGTTGCGAGAAGATACTTGAAAAGAAACAAAAATTTACTGGAGAGGCTTATTCCATTAGAATAATGGTAATTATTAGCAAATGGTACAATAACAGCTAGTGAAATTAAAGGATTTTGCCTTTTGGAATGAATGCACTAATATAACAAAGGTGTGAAAGATGATTCCATATAATGTGAGAGACATTATTTTGTGGACTGTTTTTACACTGGTGATGAAATAAAGAGTAAAGAATATATATTTTAATTGCTAAAATTTTCAAACTGGACTCGCTACGATCTTTTATCTGAATTAAGCAGAAATATATGACTTTATGCTAAAAGATACTGCCTTTGTGAAAACTGTGGGCATTCATTACCTTAGAAATTCAAGTTATTAACCTAGCTGATTGAATAAAGGTTAGTGTAGGCATATGCAAACTTTGGCCTTAGCTTTGGGTTCTTTGGAGGTTTTATCTTGAATATACAGGTGGCCAAATGAATTGTGGCAGGGGAATGTAATCTAAGGCAAACTTTCTCAGATAAGTCTCTCTTCATTCTAGGAAAAAGTAAGAAAAAGGATAAATGCAGAAATTCTCAGCTGTATCCTCTGATTGAGAATCAGTTTTGCCCCTGTGACAAATATAGCGCTCAGCCCGTGGGAAACTGGTCCGACTGCATATTACCAGAGGGCAAAGTGGAAGTATTGCTGGGAATGAAGGTAGCAGGAGACATTAAGGAATGTGGACAAGGCTACCGTTACCAGGCCATGGCATGCTACGATCAGAACAGCCGGCTTGTGGAAACGTCTCGATGCAACAGTCACGGTATTTAGAAACCTCTTTTCTTTCATCTCCTTACTAATCTGCATCATTTCATCTGACATAATATCCATACAGGAAGAAATAGCAAATTAATATATATTACTTAGGCTTCTGTTATCCCAAGATACCTTCAAACCTAGCATATGTTTTATACACTTCTAAAAAGTAAGATTCTTCAGATATCCAAAGTAAAGTTTCTTTTTACTGTTTGAGACCATGCAATATTTAAAAGTAAAATGATGGTAAATTAGCAGCAAGGCATTTTATTAGATAAGAGGCAAATCTTCTCATTTTTCCTGTTAGTTGCACCTGTGTATTGGAGAGTAAACCTAATGAGGATGGTCAAAGCCTCAAAAAACAGAAAGTGACGGCACAGGCTACTGCAGCCTTTGGCAAAGGCTGAAACTATTTCCTTGAAATGCAGTCTTCAGGTAGCTGTAATCTCTGTAAATAGCCTTATCTTCACTCTTATCTTTACCCTGCCCTCTTCAGCACTTTAATAGGTATGTATTGATCTGAGTTCAATGGCTCACAGCACTTTTCTGTCCAGGTGTAATTCTCAGTGTCAGGGGTATTGGTAGGCTGTGGAGAGACTTAGCATTCTGTGTATTCACATTGCTCCTGGAGGGGACAATTCTCTCCATAAATGTTCTCCTTCCTAAAATAGATGCATCTGTGGTGTTAGGGAACTGGAAGTTCCTGGCTTCGGTGAACTTCCCACTTCACTCAAACTTCTTGATGCCAAGGAGAGGTAAGATGTAATTAACATGCATCAAGAAATGGTAGTTTTGAGATGCCTGTCTCTTCCAGGCACCAAAACACGCTGCAGAGGGCTGCCTAGTTATTTTTAAGATGTTAAGAAACCAGGTTCTCCCCATGCATCCTTGATTTGGTTTCTTTCTGCAGCACACACAATGTTTATAGAAATAAATAAATAAGGAATCATATGGCAAAGTATCAGAGAAATAAAAAAGCAATAAAAATGAAAAAAAAAAGCTTCTCATCTGTCTTTTTTTTATCTTGTTACAACTCTTGACGATTGTTATGCCAGAAGTAATTTCCAGTCTAATGGAGCAGCAGTGAATGTCCCCTGCACTCACAGTGACCACAGTGAATAATAACTCGATGCAAAGCTACTCAGAGAATATTGCCATTACACCTACTATGCCAAAAGCTACCATTTCTGTGGCAGTGGCCCTAGTGGCTCTAGAGACCATCTTCCCAAAATGGAACATAGAATTGCTCTGGTCTGTTTCTTCTTTCCATGGTTTCAGCTCAATTTTCTCACTGATTTGAGATCTCTTTTACTCTCTTTGAATAATGGAAATTTTTATGAGCCATTACTACATTTTTTTTCTTTGGTTGGAAAGCCTCAACCCTTTTGATTTTTATTTATTTATTTATTTCTCTTCCTGTAAGCGAGTTTATTAAAGTTTCTGGTTCTTTGATTTTTGCCTCCCTCTTCCCCCTCATTTTATTACATTTTTTTGGTAGTGAAGTGCATGAGGCATCTTAGTGTGTTTTCCTCATCTGTCCCACTTGAGAGAGTATTTTTATCTTGGTCCAGGCATTGGCAGATGAGCCTTGGAACTGCAGTAGAATTAATCGTGCTTTCCTCGTGCACCCTAGAATTGTTTGACAGGAATGTCAAGTATACAGAAAATCTGATATCTAATCTGACTTTGATGCTAAAGAATATGTCACCAAAGTTTTGGTTTCCTTTTCACTAGCTCTTCTACAGCAAGCATCTATTATTGATAAGTTTTGTACACAAACACAGATAATTTTTACTGCTCACCTGATTTGTTGTATACCTTCAGCATTAAAATTTTCCATGTTTAGCATACTTTTGCATTTACAAAGGGACTATAACAGATGAATTAGATGTTTCAGTCTGATCTGAGTATATGCTTGCTGCCTTTTCTGAATATCTCCTCTGTATTCATGCATTATATTCCAATGATTTGTTTTATTTTGCTCTATATGCATTAGCTGTTGTTTTGCTAGTTCGATCTTATTTTATATCTTGCTAGTATTTATGATGTTTTTGTTGTTGTCTTCATGCCTTTTTTTATATGGCACTTTATAGTTTGGCATCGTCTCTGGGTTTCACTGTGCTGTGTACTTTTGTCTTTAAGAGCAAACATAAAAGCTATATGATGCCCAATCAACATGGGAGTTGTGCAGCATCCCAATAGTTACCCCACTTGCTAGCAAATAAAAGTGCCTTGGAGCTTGCCATCAATCTCCTTTTACTTTTCAAGTTGAGCCTGACAGGACTCATAATTCAAGCCTTCTTGGGATATTCTTGTAGATTTTAACTGGGTTACTTTTTTCCCTATAGAAATGACAGCATTGACTTTTCACTAATTTTTGTAACCAATCCAAAGAAAAAGAGCCAGTTTAGTCTCCTACTTGATGTGCTTTCTTCAGAAATTGGTTTTACTGATAATTCTTGAATCTGCTATTTCTTTTTCAAGTACTACAATTATATTGCAATTTTTATGAGATATAATTGCAAACTGCGCAAATGGCAATATTGTGCAAATTAACTTTGACTAAGTTATGCCGTGTCAAGGTCACTATTTAAGGAAGACGTATCCTCTGTGTGTGCTCAACTTTTGCTTGAATTTTCATTCTCATGGCACTATAAAATCTTGAGATATGACATGGGGATAATTGTACTTCTTCAGCTGTGATAATATCCTCTAGATTTGACAACAGGAACAAACCAGAGAACCACTAATGTTAATATTGAGCATTGATCAGCATTGATCGTGAAATTATGTAATATACAAAAATGCTACAGAAAAATCAGATTGTGAGACCATCAACAATTTTATGTAAGTATTATCACGAACATTTATGAGGATATGACTAGGTCTGTGTTGGAAGTTCTGCAGTTTTGAGTGGGAGGAATCAGAGGCGGATCTGCTCTGCAATGCCAAAACATTCTTAGCTGTTTGTTTTGTGAAAATTTATGTGTTTATAATCACAAGTCAGTAGATTTTCCCAGGAAAGAACGAAGGAAACAGAACAAGAGAATGAATACTTCAGAAGTATTAATACAGAATTATTCAGAAGAATTCAGAAACTCTTTTAACTGCTAGACATATCTCATTTTCAGTTGATGCAGGAAGAGTTGACCAACATTTTCACAGGCCCTGAGGAACTAAGAGAATGGGTGCAACACAAAGCAAACTCCTAAATTAGTAGATCCGTAAAAAGATTCCTGAGATACACTTTGAAATTCTGGAAGCAGTGTAACCCAATATGACCCAATATAAATAGGTTTCGAAAACCTGGGAGTGGGCAGTAACTCTGAAGCAAGATGAGGCAAAACACTGCAAATTTAAGAAATGTATTGAAGAAAAATACTATAGTGGTAGATTCCTTCCAAACAAGGTCCTTAGCTTTTTGTTGCTTAACGAGTACTTTAAAAGAATCCCAAACTTGCAGCTCAAAATAGAGCTAAGTTTCAGCTGCAGAGTGAATCTACAGAGTGACTTCTTGCCTTGCCTCGCCTTGCCCCTCCTTTTCCCTGTTTTCAGTATTCTATATGCCTAATATTTTCGCTTCTCATTTCAATATGAAATACTAGTTTTGAATTCAAACTAAATCTAGTGATAAAGGTATTGTCACCATCCAGCAGCTATTTGAAAGATTCTGTTTTTGTTATTTTTCATGCACACCAGTTCTGTGGTGCACGGACAGGGGCTAACAGCTGATACTCTTGTCAGCAGATGTGGCTATGCCAGCTACAAGGTTAAGTGACCTGATTTTTAACTGTGTGCCACAAATGGAAGACACATGAATTGCTTTTTTTCCTGTTTTCATCTCTGTTTCAGTACTATGTAGGTGGTTTTACTGATGAAAGACAAAAGCCTCTTTTTTTTTTCCCATTAGAAAAGCAGGCATTGTTTTTATAACGTTATCCCTGCCCTCACTGTTATATGTGGGTAATGACACGTGTCCGTCAACAATCTGTTTTAGCATTGTTGTTTAAAAAAACTGAAATACAGAGTTTCTTCAGGTTCACCTTGTCTTGGAACCTTCATGACAAAAAAATCAAAAGCAGGCCACTGTCACGCGTGACATTTTATTTACAATATTCCAAGATTTAGGTTATATAGCAATTTTGACCCACATAAGTGAAGAGGTGGTTATGTGTGTGTGTTTTGGTGTGTATGTGTGGCTGGGGGGAGGGAGGGAGCTATGGAAGGCAAATATAGAAGCATGGCAGACAGATGTAACATTTTTATATAGGTCGTATTGCCCTTCTTAATTCATGTGAGTTTACTGTAAGACCTTAGGCACAGTAACCAGTCCAGGATAGTTTGTCTGCTGCCTTATTAGTGTGAGATTATTTCCCCCTTTAGCATTAATTAAATGAGATGCATTGATTTGTGCTGACTCCACAAAGCTCTCCATGGCTGCCAGGCTTATGCGGGGGATTAGCGAGGAGTATCTGCGTACCAGTGAATACTTCTACAACAGCAGCTGCAGTATCTATGTGAATCAAGGAATTCTGTATTTAATTGCTTATGTTATAGGTTAGGTTATAAAAGCATCTGCACGGTCTAAGATGTCAGTTAAAACGTGCTGTGTTCACTTTTGGTGGCACTTTTAAAAATCCTTTTCATTTTCAGTATTCTAACCTAAAGCAATGCAAGTCTATCAATACAAATAATAGAGCGTCAAAATTAAATTGAGACTTTCTGTGAAGTATAGATTCTAAAATAAATATATTTTCCAAAGGCCTTCGAGTTGATGAATGCCTTTGTTATGGCTGACATCCTCTTGACAGAGCAGATCTGGTGGTGCCAAAATGCAGAGGCTTATTCTAGTACCAGTGATCAAGCATAACAGCGTATTTCCAAGGGAAAATCAAGTATGAAATTCTGCATATTAAAATGTCTTAGAAAGGATGCAAGATACAAAACAGCAAATTATTCTAATAGTAATAATAATTGGGAAGCTAAATCTATTACCATACTGGATTAGATGTCAGAATGCTTTATGTTCAGAAATAGGCACAAAGTTTATATTTCTTCGGAAAAAAAAATGCCTTAAAGAACACAAGCCATTCTGACATTGCAATTTCTTCGAAAAGTAGCAGCACACTTCACTCAATTCTGTCACTCTTAAAGAAAAGACAGGTCACATAAACACTTTTTAAGATACTATTTGTGTTTATACTCTAAAACTCAACTAGTGGGTCTGTTCTTGCACATTGTAGGTATAGCTTTTTTGGGAAAAAAATAAAAGGAATCTTACATCCAATTACTTATATCTTTACCTGTTCTTCACTAGACAATGTTTAAGTCCTTTGAGTCCTCCATTATAAATTACCCATCCCATCTGTTAATGAGGTTCTAGTAGCCCAGACTTTACAGCCAATTAGTGGTGGGACAATAAAGCTTTCCCTTTCAATACTGAGTTCAGTTCACATGCTTTGTGGCTGAAAGCCATTTGATAAATTGTGCTTCAGCAATAAAACTCTAAGGATATTGTAGCCATAGCAGAAAACTGCCCATTTCCCCAGCCTGTGGAGTTTGGCTGACAGGAGGTGGAATAAGCAAGGAATCAGCCTGCACTGGGAAAAGGAATGAGCCTTAGGAGAGAGCCATCTCTTTCCACTACCCTTCTGGGTTGTGCGGGGAGGATGCCGTGTTCCGGAATATCCCAGGGTCTCATCTCTTTGGAGCCCTCTCTGTATGAGTGTGATGTTACTGTGTGATACTCCACCACTGGAGCCCCTCTTTAGGCTGGAGGTTATGTGGGGACGGGCTGACTGCTGCTTTGAGCTTTGCAGTTTCTAACGCGAGGGACACCCTTTCATAGATGATTAGATCAGAAGTGGAAACACGATGGAAAACTGGAAGAAAGGCTCATTCACATGTTGTTCATGTCAGAAACTATGTACCTACATCACCAGCCCTGTCTGCGTGTAAGTTTTCTGTGTGAAAATTATTTATCGCAATTTATTCTCTTCTCACTTACTAAAATGTTTACAGCATTGACAAAAATTGCAAATATAAGCACCTGAAGTATAACAAAAATTTTAAAAAGCAAAAAAAAAAAGGGTATAAATTTTTCCAACTTTCATTACTCTTGAAAAATGATTACTGTGGACATCTGGCAATTATCATCCTTAATCATCCTAAGAACATATGTTGACATCAGGCTTGCAGAAGCATGTATGAGGTGATGACATCCTTCAGAGAATCATTTTCTGAAAAGTGGCATTAGAAGAGCAGTAAATTGACTGGAATGAGTATTTTACAACAGGTAATTTATTTAATTCAGCCTTCTCTTAGCCAGAGAAATATCTGCTAGCAATTTGAAGGCTGCTTCTGCTTGCATTCCAGGGGAGCCCAGTGGCATAGCTAAACACTAAATTAGCTGTGGAGCGAAGCTGAAATAGTGAGACTGCCGAGGGGCAGAAAAGATGCCAAAGAACAAATATGCCAAAAGCATTTCACTCAGCTGTAACTGGGGACTTGTCATTTTCATTCTGTGTATTAATTGCTTACAGAATCCCACTCAGATCACAGTCTTTTTATTTATTTCCTTGGTCTCTTCATTCTGTTTCCTGCTTGGTCAGGAGATACCTGAGTTTGTCTTTAGGACTTGATGTTCTGTTTGTGCATTGTGAAGATACTGCTTTTGGCAGGATTTGCTTTTTTCCTCTTTGTTGTCTTTGCCTATGAAATATGTATCTCTGCAGTTCTCTTGACTCTGTTCTGGGCCATTTGTTTTCCTCTTCTCTCCCCTTGTCTATTTTCTCCTTTTCTCAATTCCCCGTCAGTACCTCTTTTGTCTTGGGTTCCCTCTGTGGTTTCCACTTTTGTCTGCTTGCCATGAAAAGTAACTTCACTCATTTCTTTTTCTCTCTGTTCTGTTTGAACACTTGGAACGTGAGAAACTCTCTTCTAGATTCCTGTTTTTTCTGTTCATGCTCTTGATCTAATTTTCATTCAGCATTGTGCTAGTGATTAGGACTTTTTTCATCCTTATCTTTCATCTCCCTTCATAATAAATATTTTATTCTGTGCTATCTAAAAATGTTCACACCTTTCCACATTTTAAACGTTTCCACACCTTTTCCACAATTCCAAACCTTTCCGCGTTTTAAAATTTCTTTTCAATACTGATTGACTCCATTCTTGTTCCCTGTCTTCGTGTGTCTTTTCTGTTCTTGCTGTCCATGCAGCAGCGCTTTTTTACTTGTGGAGTTTTGGGTGCTAATGCCAAATTTTCTGAGGAAATAAAAATGAGGGAGCAGAGAGCCTCACAGGCCAGATGATACCCAGCAAGAAAGCATAGGAAAGGCAGAGGAGAATATGCCTTTGAGATAAAATAAGACAAAGTTAAAATAGCTCAGGTGTTTATAGAAGATCCTTAAAATAAAGTCTTCCTGAATTAGCCTCCACTGATTGAACTTATCTAATTAAAGGTGTACAATTAATTTAGAGCAATGTGAATTTGTTCCTACCAGGTATTAATTACGGAGGCAGAAAATTAATAAATACTAAATGGCATTACTGCATTAAAATAGTAAGTTTCTCCAGCAGAAAGCTATTTAGAAGTTGTGTTACAAAGAAGTGCAGATGTGAAACATATTCATAAAAAGCTGTAAAATCTATATGTAAGTTAAAAATATAAAGCTGTTAATGTCAGAGCTGAGGAAAAATGACAGTGATTGCTTTAAACATGCAGTGACTAAGAAAAAAGAAGTTGTGGTACATAGGAAGCACATTTGAAACCATAAAACCAACATTCATTTGAAAAGGATCGTAGCCACGTATTAGAATGGTATTCCTCGAGTGTTTTAATTCACTGCTTATGTGCACTGAAGTTTTTTTGCCTTTGAAGTCAACATTTAGCAATACTTACCACAAAATATTTTGTGACTCTGACAAGCTATAATTTCTTTATCTCCTTTAATGGAAGGGAAAGGGAGAGGAGAATTCATGTAGGTTTAGTCGTAGAAAAAAATGTGGCAAAGGCAGGCTTTTTATTTGACATTTTATAGCTTCTGCCTTAAATATTGACATACATGACACACATTGTAAAGCTATGGCATATGTCGCTTTTGAAAGAAAGACATTTTCACTTATTCAGTGAATTGAAGCTTCATGTTACTCCCTGCAGACCATGTCCTACCCCTTTCCAACCTCTCAGGACCCATGACTTATCCAAACGAAACATCTGCTTTTCCATTCAGGGCAATTATTCAGTGTGCGGCTGAGGGCAGATGGTGGTTAATCGGCAGATCATTAATGTGGCAAACCGCGCTCTCTTTCTAGCCTCTGAAAGGTCACAAGGTGTTAAGTTCCCTCATTCCAGCCCGATAAGAAGCGTCGCTTTTGATTCTGATAGATTTTTGATATATAACTGCAGTTGACTTGCTTGAAAAAATTATGGAGGGGCTTTTAATTAAATCTCTTTCTTTCAGAAAAAAAAATGTTTGTACAGCATAAGAGTGTTGTGACAAGGGATGGGTTAGTGTCAATTGCATTCTAGCTGTCAGAAAGTTGGGATGAGGAAATCTGGCGAGTGTGAATCCTAATCAGATAATACTGAGGATGCTCAGCTGTTACTCTAACACAGTCTCCAGTTATCTGTGTCAGTTCTCTGCAGAATTTAATTTAGCCCTAATGATGAAGAAATCTCTCTATTCACACAGTCCTGTCAAGTCAAACTTTGGGCAACCTAAATGAAGTAGACGAGGGCTTCGGGGAGAAGTGGCAGTGACATGCTGAAGTGATTTCCCTTTCTTCCCCGTTCACTCAGGTTATATTGAGGAAGCCTGTATTATTCCGTGTCCCTCGGACTGCAAGCTCAGCGAATGGTCCAACTGGTCTCGCTGTAGTAAATCCTGCGGGAGTGGCGTCAAGGTTCGGTCTAAATGGCTCCGTGAAAAACCCTACAATGGTGGAAGACCCTGTCCTAAGCTAGATCATGTCAATCAGGTAATTTTGTTTTTATTTATGTTATTGATAGAGCTTTTTCCACATCTCAAATAACTTATCTGTTTAACTGTATTGCTTCACGATACAGAAAATGGGCATAAAGGGAAGAGGTTGAGAGATGAGGAGTATATGTCAGCTTAAAATTCTTCAATCAATCAATGTAGGATCTGCCTACATTACTTGATAATCTATAGGACTGTAGCACGTTGTCTGAATTGTAAATTGAACAGAATAACACAATCTTACCTAGGTCTGTGAAGACCATATGTTTCCGAAGAGCTTCTCCTATTCATGAGTAGAATGTGTCTTGTTATAGATGCCCAAATTGTAAGATTCAGTCTCATTCCCCCAGCGACTTTACCTCATAAAACAGGCGCGTCCCAGCGCACTCCTGGCTGGGCTGGCAGCACCAGCACTCTGCGTTTTAGATGTAACAAGCTTCAGGGTGCACCAAGTCCTTGCAAGTGTCAGTACCAGACCCTCTCTTAGAGCCAAAAAATGCAGCCCAAATTGTCTTGCCAACAAACTAGAGACTGGATGCAAAGGCACAACTCAGAAAAGAAGAAACCTCTCAGTAAAGAAGTTTAAGCAATGACTTACGTGCTTCCTTGTGTCCCAGGCCTGTCCATAGCCTTTCAGTTTCCTTGGAGAGTTCCTAAAAGGAAAACCCACCTTTTCAATTAACTTATGTTCTGCAGAGCTGATTTATATTCATATTACTGTGGAATTTAATTCACTCTGCAGAGGCACGTTACACAACCACATAGTCTTCTCTGTAAATATTCAAAGATGGGGAAAAAAAAGAGCTGTCAGTTTACATTTGAATAAAATGCATGTACTTAATATTATCCTATTGACATTTTGCTAGCACGGAGTGAAATAGCTTGTTGATCTAATTTTCTGCTTTAGGCAATGTAATTAGTTCTAATTTAGAAAATAATAAGTGTTAAACTACAGCTAATAAACTAAGTTTGTAATCTACTTTAGCAAAATGCAAGCTAGAAAGAAGGTTGTTGGATTTGGGTCAGCATGTAAAACTGGTTTAAATTAGGAGGCATGTGTTTCAACAGGAACAAATTATAGCTTAAACATTTTTTTTCCTTCTTTAGTATCCATGTGGTACATAATCGCCTCTTTTTTTCTGCAGCGAAGGTGTTTTCACTGGGCTTCTCCTGGCCTCTTACGTGCAGTACCATTGCCCTCTACTGGTACTTCGACTAGAGCTTGATTTGGTAGTGTGTTATATAGCCCTTGCCTAATACAAGAGTAAAAATCAAATCAAATCATCATCAAATGTGTAATTTATTTCATAAAGGAAATTGAAATGTAGGACTTTAGGAGAAGGGGCCGTCCAAATCAGATAGAAATGTATATTAAAAAAAAAAAGAGGCTTTATCTTATAATCTTAAATGCACCCACTGTGAATTCTTAAATTAGGAAATCTAACAGATCTCCTCTGAGACAATGACCAAGGAGTTGCGGATTAACTAATTGTCTAAATCTGATCCACCATTCATTCAACTGGAAAACTAGTCATTACTGACACTTCAGAATATTTATTTCAGCTAACAAATGTGACTAGTTTTAATTCTTTATTTAATACCTCTGTACATATAATATATGCCTATTTACATACACAGGGATTGTAATGGCTAGACTGGGTCTTTGGTGTCCTCAGATATGTTTTTTTTTTAGAGAAGATGCCCTCTGAGGAAAGACTCCAACATCCTGCGCAGCCCTGGAAGGGATGGTGAAGGGATCGTGCCAGCAGTGTGACAACAGTGTGCCAGCATGCACAGAAAAGGCTGCTGCAAAGAAGAGACAATAACCTATTTTCCATGGCCACCATGGATAGGATAAAACAAGGCAGACTTAGACTGCTGCAAGCTGATTTGGTTAAGCGTTAGGAAAACTTTCTAATGGGAAGGACAGAGAAACTTTGGAATAAAGTACTAATAGGTCAGTGGAGTTTAAGAGCAGGTTGCTCAACATCTGTCTGGGCTGGTGTGTGTGACTGCCCAGGCTTTGGAGGGGTCCTGAATTCCATGGGTGCTGGATGTGCCATCCAGCCCGTTTTTGACCGGGCTTCCAGCCTTCCAGCCCCTGAATGTCCCCTGCTCAAACCCCCCTGTCCTGATCTAAAAGTCATCACAACTTCAGGCAAGTAGCAAACCAGGGGAATCAAAGCACCTTGAAGATCCCGTTCTTTCTAGTGCAGGCAGGAGTGACTGCACTCCAACCATGAATGTGTGCCCATTTCAATAGCAGATGGTGCTTTTAATGCAAAATAGTTCACACAAGCCTAAAAAGAGGACATAATTTTAATCACCTCATAAACTGCTTTTCTCATTCTTCCCATTCTAAACTACCATCTTTCCAGCTAAAAATTTTGTTCTTATTTTTACTTGACTATCATAGCTCCACTTCATATATTGGCAGATGTGTATACATAGAAAATTCACAAGGAAAATCATATGCAAATGGAAAGCTCTTGAATACTCTAAGAGGGGAACTTTGTTGACATTAACTTCAAAGAGTTGCTCTTTTCCATCTAGGTAATTGGAAAAGTAAATATCTTTTTACTGCTACAATGTAGGTTTGCAGCTCATAATACTCAAATCTGATTTATTATGAAATCTCATTAATGGTCTTCAGAGGATTTCAATTGAAGAGGCTAATCTGAGATTGTTAGATAAATAAGAGCATCCCTCTCTTGACTGGCTCCAGGCATTATTTGTGTCCATACCCACCTAGCTAGGAATTAAATCTTTGTTATACTCAATTATAACAGTCTGCAATCCTGGTTGCAGAAAATATGAAGAGACTATCACCAAATATAATGCCATACAGAGTTCTAGTTTGGTTTTCTGGCAAGATATTCCATTTTTCTCTTATCAGAAAAGCTGCTGGATATGGAGGCCTCATATATTTCTTCTGATGCCCACCAGAGTGAGCCATATAGAGATGCTCCTCTGAACTATAGCCTCCCTATTCTCATTTTGGAATTCCTGGACAAGGATAAATGTTCCATGTGACTACAGGCTGTGCAGTGAGTTCCTTGCTCAAAATGAGTTACACCAACCATCTTCACATCAAGCTTAATGCTTATGTAGCTCAGAGATAGCCCAAATGTCTTGACTACACTGAATTTGTTGTGCCTGGGCTGCTCAGCTGCTTAGTGGCCTATCAGACTCACTCCATATTCCTTGTTCAGGGTATCCTTTTCTAGTGGAGGAATTTATTTTGTTGCAGGTAAACTGATAAAATACCAAACCATCAGCCCTCTTTCTACCCAGTGTTTCTGGAGAAAAATATCAAGGACTTGTTAAGGATAAAGTTTTAGATTCCTTTTATATGTCAGTTTTGCTAACTGGATACTCAAAATGTTTTATCAATTTAGCTATATCAAGTTAGCTGGTATAAAGTATTTTTGAGGCACCAGGCTTTAAGTAAGTAATCTATGCATAATTAAGATACTCTTTGAGAACTTCAGAAGGATGAAAACTGCCAATTGTTTTTATTCCCTTATACCTACTGCATATAGTGGTATTAAAATACCTGTAATTAATAGAGAAATCTAGTATCCTCTTCAAAAATGGGGTTTTCCCTTATCAAAGGGAAGGTGGATTTCCCAGTTGGTGAACAGTCAATGTTTATAATATATAAAGAAGGAAAATAGTTTTGTGGTGTACCAGAGAATATCTGAAATAGAAGCTTACAGTCACTTCCCCCTACTTGTGTTTTAGAAACTTTATTTTCTTCTAAGGGCTGGCTTCTCGCAAAGAAATGCCTCATGATAGTGAGAAAGATGCAAGAGGAAAAATGAAATGCCTCTTGCTTGGCAGAAGTTGCAGAATATTGTTTATAATAAATACTGAATGAATGCCACATAAATACCTATGCTTCACTCTAATTCTTTCTTTTTATCTTTCACTTTTCGGTTCATGAAAATACTTTCTTCAGGCTCAGGTAAGCATCTCTAAAATAGAGAGATAACCTTAACATGTCCTTCCTCATTACATTGTCTGTCCTTTTTTGTAATGTACCTTAAAGAAATATATGAAATAGTATATAAGTTATTATATAAAACAATATTTCAAATCTATATTCAAACCTAAGCCTAATAATAATAGCAGCATGCAAATTATATTAGGATGATTTTAAGTATCCACAGTTAAAAATATTTTATTGTGAATGAAGCAGTCTGTGTTAGTGTAATTTACCCTGAGCTCCTCTGTCTTTAGGAATAACAAAAACTCCATGACTAATCACCGTAGGATGGAATAGTTGAGAGGAGATTTGAAATACAGAAGTGTAGTTTGGGGACTGCATTTCCAAAAAGTATATCAGAACCTTAGCCCAGGTTAAAGATTTTACATGTCAGTCATGGTGGTGTTATCAGTGGAAATGGAATAGCAAAGGCTTAGTGATGGAGAAGAGAAGGAAAACTCTCATCAGATGTCCTAACTTTTGATTTTTTTTATTCCTGTAGTTTTGCAGCAAGTATATAATCTGTATTATTGCTGCAAACTCTTCATCAGCAACTTCTATAGATATATCAAATTATCATAGACTACTCTTACCAAAAAGAGCAGTAGCAATACCTTTGATTGCATCAGCGTGATCACTGCTGCGTGTGTGTCTTATTTGTATGCAACAAAACTGACCCCCGCTGTGGCTTGCAGGTCTACGAGGTGGTCCCGTGCCACAGCGACTGCAGTCAGTACATATGGGTTACTGAGCCCTGGAGCATTTGCAAAGTGACCAATGTGGACCTAAAAGAGAATTGTGGAGAAGGCGTTCAGACCAGGAAAGTCAGGTAAAACAGCATTGCTTCTCCCCGAGTTTAAAGAAGAAGCTTCACTTTGAATCATGCTTATATTTAATTCTGTGTAATTCTATCTCATGCACAGCATAAATCTCTGGTCTATTGGCCTAGAACTTTGACCGAAATAAATTTGTACAGCTTCATTAAATGTAGTATAGATTAGTATAGATCTGTCTATTGGTTAAGGTTCTAGACCTTAACTTCTTTTAGTAAACTAATGTGGATTATATTTTTTTTACCAATTTTTATACTATATTTTTATACTAATACAAATACTGTAACATATTTTTACATTTTTTTTTTCTGAAAGGCAAAAGGCTCTTTCTATATGAAATTGTGACTTAAAGACAAAAACAAAAAACCCCAGAACTTTCTAAGTACGTATACATTCAAATAGCTCTTATTGAAGGAAAGAAAGGCAAAAGTGATTGAAGTGAAATAGGAGTGTCCAAACATCTTCTGTTGTTTATTGAACCTGTTCCAAGCATCTTGTATGTTCATCAACTCAAAGTTCTAATCAAAGGCTAATTAAATTTAGTCTCACATGGTATGATACACAGCAGGAAAAGCAGTTGAATGTGTTTTATTTTCTGGGGCTAACTACAAAGCAACACACATTTTAAGATTATAAATTTGAATAATACAAAAATGTAATTTGATTTATTTTGAAGGTGCCAGTAGCAGTAAAGAGAACTTTTAGTAGTAAATGGAAACATTTTTGCTATTCCTTGCCACAGGTACTTAGGAACAGTTGCACTTTACAAGATTTTGTTCAAAATTACACTGTTTTGTTAGTGTAAATATTTATTTCAAGAAGATTGGCCAATGTTAGAAAAATCTATGCACAACTCATAGAATAACAACTAAATAGATTCCTACTAAAAATTTTCTTGAAAAAAAAGCTTTCAATATGAAACATCAGAATTAATCAGTACTTATGAGGAAAAAATTTAGCGCTACTGGAAATACTGTGAGATCAGGACTGATCTCTTTCAGCTCTATAAAACTGAGCATGCTCATGTTCTGATCTTGACTGGGCCTCCAGCTTATTATATTAATGTAGTAAAATGATAATGTAATATAATGATAATTGAAAAGCATCTGTGTGAGTTAGGGTTTTACCATAGAAAAGGCTTAATATGTCTAGATTTACATTATCAGTTAAATTACACAGATCGCATGTCCAAGCTATGGAGGACTCATTTATGTAGGCTTGCTGGTGAGTTTGTGTCAAGTAGATGATTTGCCTGGAAGCTCTTGGTGCATCACTGGTAGGGAATGTCTGCACTCTGCATTGCAGCTGCATCTCTTTCTATGGCTGTCATCTGTAAAACAAGGGGCTACTTCTGGTTTATCAGCTTTTCTTGATTAATCTGTATCAATACTTACTTCTGCCACTGCAATTAATTGAGAGTTGTTACTTGCTGACAAAACATTTAAAATGCATCAGAATACTGTAGGACGCAGATATGGTACAAAATCCACGACAAAGGCAGTTTATGTGCAGTCCTTTCTTTCCAGGTGCATGTTAAACACCGTGGATGGTCCTTCTGACACCGTAGAGGACTATCTGTGTGATCCTGAAGAGATGCCACTTGGCGCCAGAAAATGCACGTTACCATGTCCTGAAGACTGTGTCATGTCTGAATGGGGACCCTGGTCTCGATGTTCTTTGGTAAGGAATGTATTTCAATGTAACATTTACAGTTTTAGGTAGATATTTCATGTGTTTATTTATTTGTTATATGTTTATATGAATTACTGTGGAAAGGTGCTGCGTAAGCAGTGGACACATATGTCAGTCTTTGCATTTACTGTCATTTTTATGTTCGTTGATAACTGGTTGTGAGTAAGGTGTACCAGTATTTTCCAGAGGGTAAAATTACCTTGGGAAAGTGCTTCCTGTTAAAAAAAAATAATAATAAAAAATTGCCAGTGGTAATTCTCCACTGGGGTAGCTTCTGGGTGGCCTAATTTGTTTTTGACTAAGGTTTGACTAAGACCACCTTTCAGACTAGCTATGGACCTTTCTATACCATACTAAACTTTCTATACCATACTTTCTTCACCATACTAAAAATGATAGTAGCCTCTAAAGCTTGCTCCAAAGAGCAAAAACCTGCAGATACAGGCTAAGCATATACGGAGAATTCTGTGTCTCCTCTCAAAGAGAAATGTCAAAAAAAAAAAAAGAAAAAAGAAAATTAAAAAACATTTTTCAGATTCAAGCATGAAAAAGATTTTCAGGGCCTCTAAGTTCTCGGGCTCTGGTGCACTATGGTACGTCTTTTGGGAAGCGTGCATGTGAACAGCCAATTTATGGGTGTAATAACTTCGAGTCACCATTACTGCAGTATGGATAGTATCTTGATATTTTCCTAAGTGATGAGAGGGTATTTCATCTTGGGTGTTACAAAGGTGAAGCAACAGACTAAATTCTTTCTGGATAAACAAGGACAGCTTCTCTTAGGCAACAACACAGTGCCATTATTTTACATTTGCCTTCTGTGAAGAGGTTACGTAAAAGACTGTTGCAGTACTGCATGAAAGGCATCAGTGTCCTACAGGATCAAAGTTAACTGTTTCTCATATTTTCAAGCCTTGCAATGGAAGTAATGTCCGTGAAAGGTCGGCAGAGCTTTTGAGACAACCTGATGAAGGAAAGTCTTGTCCCGCTGCCACCGACTCAGAACCCTGCACCTTGAACAAAAACTGCTACCACTATGATTACAATGTGACAGGTATTTTGTGATGTTTTAATCCAGTAACTGCCTGGGAAAATACATTTATATGAATGCTGCTGCTCCTGGCATTTAGTACAGCAGATGCATAAAAGAGAGCGTTTCAGGTGGCCTATACCTAGCAGAGATGGCAAAGAACTCTTATGCTGCTGTTGTTCTCCAGGTGGGGAGTTTATGAGTGTATATGTAGAAGATAGGAGAGATGGAAGGAATAAAATATACTTCCATTCTTTTTAAAGGAGAGATATTTTCTGCTTTCTGTTCTTAGAAGCTGTGTGGTTCGTACTGAAAACTGATTCAGTCTTTCTAATTCAGATAAAATGATATTGGAGACTTTGCAAGCTGGGTTTAGTGTGCCTGTTGTAACTCCGAGAAATTTATTCCTATAATCTTTTTGTTATTTGCTCAAAATGTATGCAGATAAAACCAAATATGTACTTCTGAGGAAGGCATCATGTCACTGACAGTAACATTGCAGTAATATGGCTATTTCCAAAAACATGTAACAGATGGACTCCACAAGCCTGTGCTTGAGTTAAAGTTGTTTATGAGGATTATTTTAGGCTATTAGAATTAGAATTAATGTGAGATTGGATCATTAAGATTGTTAGCTAAAAAGTCTGCCATCCTAATGGTTTCCTTGTTTCAGACTGGAGCACATGCCAGCTCAGTGAGAAAGCTGTCTGTGGTAATGGTATCAAAACACGGATGCTGGATTGTGTTCGCAGTGATGGCAAATCAGTTGACCTGAAGTACTGTGAAGAGGTGAGTGGGGACCTGTGAAAGCGCCTTTCTAAAGGTGCTAATTTATGCTGAGCCACTAACCTATACTGCGGGTAACCCATCTTCACCAGATGTTTCTCAACATTATTCATGGGTTGTTAAGTACCTCTGAAATGAGCTGTGTCATCACCAGAGATTTTTTTTCATACAATTTCCTTTGGTTACTATTAAGTGCTTCCATGAAGGAATACTAATTATTATGTCCTGAAGGAAATGACTTAGAAACAATAATTAATAAAGTAGAATAAAGATAATAAATCTTAATCAGAATACTAATCATGATTCTAATTTGATACAATTTCTGTGTAGAGCTTTGGACAGCTGCCAGTATCAATCATTTGCTTGATGTGCTAGAAAATATTTGTCACATGCTATTCTGCAGCTGGGCTGAATGCTGAATTCTGGTCTCCAGCTGTGCTTTGTAGAGAAATGTGTGAGAAATGTGCACCAAGAATGATATATTAATGAAATAGAAACATATCTGGAGAAGATAACATTGTCCTTCAGCAGATAGGACAGCTTTAATTTTAATGGCCATTTGGTAAATGTTGAATTAATTGTTTAAACATGACAGCACTATTTTTCTGGGTCTGTCTTAATGTTTTAAATTTCATAGAGACGGTAAGGTGAAGAAAAAAGGAAAGAAAATAGTATTCTCAAATTTGTAGCATTTAAATATAAAAATACATGAAAAATAAAAATATTTTTAAATAGCAATCCCACATCCATTTCTGAGAGGAAATAAGTGAACTTGCTTCCGCTACCATCCCACTACTGATGGGTCTCTTGACATCAAAAACGTATTCTTACTAAGAAACAGTCACTAGGGTATAGTGCCCTCCCCAGCAGCTTTGTCCCTTAGAAAAGTCTAAGTGACCTTTCTTGCTCTTCAGGATGTACCTATGGAGAAGAGAGACTTGTCAGAAGGGGCACGAGTCAGGAAACCATCGCTTAGCTTGGACAGTTGAAAACCTACTTATGTCTCTCCAACTCCCTGCAGCATCCTAGGTTTCTGAATCTATAGGTTTTTAGCAATGGTAGAGGCTTCTCCTTAAGTTGGCAGTCTATTTTTGTGCCAAGACCCTCCTTCACACACACCTCTTAGGATTATAATCAAATGTAATAATTTGTCAATTTATGTCTTAGAGAAAACTCAAGATTTGTCCACTTGCCAGCAAGCTTCTCTGAAGTTAATAGTTTAATACATTAAAAGAAAAAGAATGACTCTCAGGTTACATGTAAGAGACTTCAGTATTGATTAATTCGTACCAAGACATGATAAATATATATATATATATCTGTTGGAATTAATATTTTAGCAGAAAGAATATGCTTTATGATTTTATACGGGGGAATATATTTCTTCTACCATAAAGACATGAAAAGACATTTCTCATTACTAACCAGTGAATTTGTGTAACATTTAGAACAAATGAAATCTCACTGCAGAAAACCTCCAGAACCTTTCTCGTATTTAAGAAATGAAAGATGATTAACCAGAGAGCTAATTAGGGATAGTAACAGGAATTTCCAAAACTATTTGTCAGGAATTACCAGTCAACAGACATCGCTGCAGCTGGATCCTGCCTTTATCAGTCTTATTTACCCTTCTGTTTTGCTAGGCTGTACATCGTCCTGGTGAAAGCTCTGATCTGCTCCCCAGTCTTACTAGTCTGGACTCCTTGATAAATAACGTACATGTAAGCGGTAGCGCAGCAAGGTCAAAGGCTGATCCAATAACTGTGAGAAGTCAAATCTGTTAACCTGCTTAGCAGGAAAGCCAAGCTGCTCAGATCTTCCCAGCCCCTTCATTCCAAAGATGTGAAAGTGAACTCTGGCTTTCCAGGTCGTGAGAGGACAGTATACAAGACATTATCCAAAAGCGTGTCTCTGCTGTGCCCTTCTCACTAATCTAATCAGAGGTGGCCTGTGATGTGTTTCTGCGTTGCAAGGACAGTGTATCGCCACTGTGGTGGGATTAATTGGGATTAAATAAGGTTCAAAGTTAGGTGCATGTGTTTAGGGGGATTGATAATAGAGAGATGAATTCATTTTGTAATGAGTGAACTAATGGAATTTCCAGTATCTAATATCAGAAAACTTGATATAAAATGTATCTATTTAGTGCAAGTGTTGTTTAATTAAGATGTGGATACATTTACAGCATTATGATGAGTGTTGTTATGTACAAAAAAGAGGATAGCTAGACCTATCCTGATTCCTTAAAAAATTAAGACCCCCAATTGCTAATTTCTACATAGTATGCTGTTTAAGAAACTGTCAAAAACCACAGGAGATAAAACACACCATTTCCTGACTGACAATCTCTGTAGGTATATGCATACTTAAATTTCCTCAGAGCTGCTGTGTTGTAATGGTTGCTTTGCTACTATGTTCCATATGATCCATGTGATCTTGTGCTCACTTCAGTCAGTCGACTAAAGGAGCAAGCCAGCATCCTGATTACTGCCAGGATAAATCAATTTCTAGAGCTTACTTCCAAGCCTAGTTATGTTAACATAGTTCCCTTCAAACTCTCAAGACATGGTAATACTGGATTACTTGAACTCTAATGCTATGGAATTAGCACATCACTAGAACTCTGCTTGTTTTTTCCTTGAATATTTGAAAATCAAACCACCTAAAGCAAGCTGATCCTAGTCATTTGCATATTTATAGGCTTATTTTCATTCATTTACTTTCAATTACATATCAGAAACCAGCAGTTTTCTGTTTTAGATCAGATTACGTGATTAACCTCCAGCAGAGGTTAATCTTTAGTGCCTAACATCCGTATAAACATGTATAGATACTTTTTGTGGATACCACATCCCAGAATTTACAGAGAAAGCTGGTCTGGCAATCTGCTGCCCTGCTGTGTACAACCAGGAGTACAGTACAAGACTTAACTAGGGTTTAATCCGTCATCAACTGAAGAAAGGAGATGCACGACAAGAGAATATGGGATTAATATGAAATGAGAACATTTGCAAAATTGCAAAATGTTCCCCAAAACCATTTCAGAAGCACTTCAGCGTCTAAGACTTGCAAAAGGCAGATCTCTGTGGGTAATATGATTGTTAGCTTTTTCCTCTTACACTTTTAATACTGCTCTTAATACTGCTTTTAATACTGCTCTGGGGGGTTGGACTAGATGATCTCTAGAGGTCCCTTCCAACCCTAAGCATTCTATGATTCTATGATTCTCTTGGGCTTTTCCTCCTCTAGCTGCAAAAGTCCAACCGAGAAGCCAGACATGGAGGGAGAAAAAGGCATCAAGAAAGCAGTCATGTTTCTGTAATTGCAGGGAGTCAATTCAGCAGCCTTTCAAGTCCGTGCTCAGAAATGTTTGACGTAAATGCTCTCTAAAAACCTTGTTTTCTAGATTTGCAATTATCCATATTCTAGACTCTTCAAATGTGTCACATGTCCCCTGCATGACAGAGCTCGGTTATGACATGCAGCAGAGAAAAGCAAAATACTCAATCTCTGATGTGTAAAACAGAACAGAGGTCAAAAACCCCATTTGTCTCAATAAGTGGTACTGCAAATGGAAATTTAAGCCTTGGTGAGTCTATCAGGGTGAGACATTTCCAGCAGTTGTGGTAGTTTATTTATAGAGGACATGTTAATATTGCTCCTAATTATTGCTCCATGCTTGCATTTAGAAGGAAATAGTGTTTTTATTTCCCCTTTAAAGTCTTAACTGCTGGTTTTATATCATTAACCTTTGGAGTCATTACAATTAATAGATTGGAAATGCCTAGTTTGCTTTTGAATTAGAGTTCAGCAAATCTCTGCAGTGTTGTTTTTTATTAAACATTGGGGGTTTGTATATGTAAAGGTATTTGCAGCCTCCAGGAATTCTTAAAGGCCTAATGGGATCAAGGATTATTGTAGAGGGACAGTGAAGAGGACAATCTTTTATATTTGGAAACTGTTCATACTGGCAGAATTAATTTTCTTTCATATTTGATATCATATATTCTATAAACCACCTATCCTTTTAATTCATTTTTAGGCTGTGCAGGCTGCAGGAATAATTATTGCCATGCTAGTTTTTATTCTATCACATTTATTCACTCTTGAGTTCATTTGGAAGGAGCAGAATATCTCTTGTCTTCCATAGCTGGATGGGGAATATCTGGAGCAGCCGCCGCCTTCCCGGCAAGATTTTCCTTACCTTTTTACAATTCTTCCATTTGCTCTTTTCCCAGCCTCTTTTTCAGTCCTTTTTCATCTCTGGGCTTGTTAGCCACACATGGTTTCTATGTGTTTACTAACCTTCAAATTTCTCTTCCATTCACAAGTTCAGTCTGTCTGAACCTCACACAAGATTTTATCACCTACAGTGTCAGACACACAAACTGTCTACCAAGATCTGCCCTCTCCTTTTGTTAGGGGGTAGTATTACTTTAGGAATTAAATGTTTTAGTCAGGGAATGTCCTTGAACTAAAGTTCAGCTGTTACAGCAGATGGTACTTCTGCAATTGTATATTGTTATTTTCAAAAAACTGTATCAGTACCTCTTACATTGCTTTATCCTTTAGCCACTGTATAAAGTAAGATTGCAGAGTGGAAGCCCTCAATTTTCAAGCTTTGATTTAGAAAATAGTTGACAAAATTGACATCTAAGTATGTACTTAAAAAATCAACATATGCATTAGGGCTATCTTGAAATGAGATTTTAAATGTCCTGCCTGTTTTCTTTTTTATTTAGTCATGACTAAGTATTTAGTTCACTTAAATCTTCAGTCCTCTCAGATTCTTCATGCACAGGCTGCACCGGTGACCCAGCGCGGTGGGGATGTGCTGAGCACTGCCGTTTTCTTTCAGCTGGCGTTGGAGAAGACGTGGCAGATGAACACTTCCTGCGTGGTGGAATGCCCTGTGAACTGCCAGCTCTCTGACTGGTCCCCTTGGTCTGAGTGCTCGCAGACATGTGGCCTCACAGGTCAGTGTATGTTCCTGGCGTAATTAAAAATCTGAGCTTTCTTTCAGGGAAAAGCAATAATATATGGTTTTGCTGAACTAGGAAAATATGGTTGGTTAGGGAGTATTATGGGAATATAAATCGTCCTTACTCGTGGCAATAATATGTCTCAGGGAGACTACACTCACTTAAGCGGATGAGAACTTGGCCCAGAATTGGCTCTGACTCAAATCTCAAGCATGAGATATGATAAATGGATATATTGAGACCAAAACAAACACATATTTATTTCTCATAGGAGAGCATTTCCCTCTTAAGTTTAATTAATAGTGAGATTAGAACAACTAAGCCTTAGAAGTGCATAGTTAATCCCACAACTGTAGTCCTCAAAAGTGAAAGGTGATGTGGAGGGGGAGCTTTCTTTCACTGCAATTGCATTAATTTGATTTTTCCAAAATATGCTTTTAATCCAATAATTTAAAATTAAATCTATATCAAAGGCGCACCCTAGCTGTGGAGCAACTCTTGCTACTTATTTGTACTGAAAGAGCATATTGATTTCTCAGAGTAAGGATTTGCAGTGACCATCGTAGGAAGCGATTAAGATATACAGACTTCTGAAGGATAAAGGTAGAAACCCTTGTGTGAACCCTATTTGTTCTGTAACTCTATCTGGGATATGTCAGTATAGCTATTTGATGGTTAGCAGTGTATGGAATCCCCAGTCAGCTATTGGGCTTATAATAAAATGATGTACCCTTCATGGAAGTACTTGAAACATAAATATAAATAAAGTGTTGATGCCCACTGTATTTTGTTCTCTGATTATATTTTATAATTTAAAAAGGCAGCGATATAGCTGGGCAAGAATGCACTAGGACAGAATTGTCCCTTCTCTGGGAAAATGCTGAGCATTCACAGGGAGAAAAGCAGCCAGACTGCAGGATGAGCTAAGAGAAGTAGTGAGACAGAGATAGAGAACTTAGCAAAAAAATCCACCAGCAATGGGAAGACATCCAGGGTAAGGCAGGCAGGAAGAAAAGTCTCTCTGTGGTGGTAGGGGACAGAGCTTGCTGGAATCCTGCTGGTGTAGTCCCAAGCCACATCTGGAAGCACAAGGTAGCCTTGGACAGAAAGAGTGGGCAGAGAGGGACGAGTTAATAACTCAAATTTAAAAACAGTATTTTGTAAATTTTATAAACTTAATATTTCTTTGTTTAATTTCTTTAAGTTTTCTCTACTTAATACATTAATTGCATTGGTCTTTATTCTGATAAAACCTGCCTTTTGTGGGTTTTAAACATCTGTTGGTGTTCCTTGGAGAGGGCATTAAATGCAAACTAGGCAAAAATGACTGAAAACTCCGGCCATTTCATGATCCCATCAGCAAGAGCTATGGATTTTTTTATTGTCTGATAGCAGTTAATAATTTAGTACTGCAACATCTAACACCCTAATTACGTTTTAGTTCTTTACATTACTTTTCAAAACCTGACTTCTACTTTAAGGATATTCACAATAATCCTTAGAGAGATCCTTCTTACCAAGGGAAAACATGGATGAGAGTGGAACTAATGAAGACTTTTAATATGTTGCCACATTTTGATTATACCAGCTTCTGTTCAGATACATAACAAGAACTGTTGAGCAGATATTTTTATGAATAAGAACCTTTATTCCTGTGCTTTTTCCAAACCTTGCTATGAGAAATGACAGTGCTTTCAAAGTGATAGAATTTACTTGCAAATGTGAAAAATATACTTTAAATAATAATTTGAAGTAACTTTCAAATTTTCAGTGATTTTAATGAATGTTAGTAAGCTCATAAGTTGCCCTTTTTCTAATAAACAGGCAATTGGGAGAGCTAGTAGATTTAATTGTTATTTTATGATAAATGCCAGCAACCTAATAAACTTAGAGGTTCTCTTTCCAGTCCTTTTCAAAATAATCTTTTCTTTGACTAGTTGAGATCCTGTGACATCTCAACTAAAGCAACCCTGAAGCTAAGAGTGATGAGTTTGAAAAGAAGAAAAATGTTGGAAAAACCTATTGTATTTTGATTTTATTTGGGCCTGAATAAGATATCCTCTATCCCTTGCCTTTATCAAGAAGGACAGACAGAGAGGGGCTGTTGCAAGCTGCTCCTGTTGTTGCTGGAGGAATCAGACGACACATGATTTAGTGTTAACTCAGGGAAAGACAAAACATATTGTCCTCTTTTAGCATCAAACTCCAGTCAGAATCTCCATAGAGGTCACAAATATATCAGCTCAGCAGGACTGTTTCATTCAGAAGGAGTATTTTGCCCCAGGCTTCTGAACTAGGAAATTACTATTTATGTTTTCTGTTATGGGAGCAATCTAAAATCCAAGTCAGACATTCTCCTGCACTTCGTACAGTACAAACAAATGATATAGTGTGATGTTCCTGATTCAGAAAATGTAAAATCCATGTAACAGACAAGCCAACAGATCCGCTTTTCAATCTAGTTTGTCAGTGTGAAATTATATTATTCAAACACAAATGATTTCATCAAAATAGAACCATCCTGAGGAATAAATCAACCTATCCACTTTATTTTTACTTATATTACTGTCTCTCATTTACAGGAAAAATGATCAGAAGAAGAACCATAAATCAGCCATTTCAGGGGGATGGGAGGCCTTGTCCTTCTCAGATGGAGCAGTTCAAGCCCTGTCCAGTAAAACCTTGTTACCGCTGGCAATATGGCCAGTGGTCTGAATGCAAAGTGGAGGTAAAAGCCATAGGGGACTTCGAAGTTACTGTGTTCGTGTATCTAGGCATATCCATGATAGACTCAGATACCTGCTGCACAATAGTGTAGTTAATTTTATTCCCTATCTGTCAGGCAAAAACTGAATAAATGTTTGCTTTCAGAATTCATATTGGTCAGTAGATATAACAGTTTCCTAGAGATATCAACGAATTTGCTTTGGTAACTTAGCAGTATCTGTGCTAATAAATGGTGAAGGAATCTCTGTGGAATAGGTTGGCATCCTTGTACTGAACAAAGCAGCCTCAACAAGAAGAGTTGCAATTCAGAGGATAAGCCTAGTTCCCTACTTTAAGAAACAGTAGTAGCAGCCAGCAAAATTTTGTTTGAATCTCAGTAGTAGAGAGTAAAATCATTATTTTCCTTTCTGTTGCAATGAATAAGTAGTTAAGCGAACAATAACAGGAAACACAACAGCTAACTCAGATTTAGCTTTTCAAACCACTAACACAGAGTGTAAAAGTCCATTTCATTATTCAGTGCCTAAGAAATCACTGAAGAGGTAGTCAGGAGAGACGGTCATTTTCTTCTGTCCAGCATCCATGTATCTCCTCCTTCCCCAGGATGCTCAGTGTGGAGAGGGGACACGAGTGAGGAACATCTCCTGTGTGGTTTTTGATGGATCTGTTGAAGATGTTGGCAAAGTAGTAGATGAGGAATTCTGTGGTGAAGTAGAGCCTATTATAGATGGTAATAAGAAGATGATACTTGAGGAAACGTGCACCCTCCCTTGTCCAGGTAACAAAGCTAATCAAATAAATATTGTTGCATTTCAACATGATTTGGGTATCATTACCATTACCAGTGCCTAAAGCAAGCCACAGGCAATGAAATCTTTCTCACATGCTTTCTTGGGCTATTCCATCAAATGACCAACACAGTTATTTTCCAGTAGGAGCTTCATGGTGGTAAATCATTTTGCAAAAAACTATAATGAAGTTTCAGCTACAGATTATATCTATGAAGGATTTTTTTTCCCTCAAAATATTTCAAAATAAAACTTGTATTTAATTCTACAAGAAAGGGTGCTTGCTAAATATTTATTTTATGTTTGGACCTCATAAGAGCTTTATTAGTAACATTAACAGGCACTTAAGAGTTTGATGCCTTTTACAGGAGGCTAAGGGAACCAAGCTAGGGAGCGTTGTTGTTTGTTGGAAGGGGCTATTCCAAACTCAACTGGTATCTTGATTTTTGAGAACATTTTTGTGTTTCTAGCTCCTTAACTCACCAGGCATGACATGTGCCATCATCATTCCTGTAGACCAAATCCAAAGGAGATGGTGTAGACAATCAGTCCCATGATCCCAGTACTAAGAAAGATTATGAGCTAGTAACAGCTGCTTAATTTTCAGTAAACCCCCTCCAGTTCATTTAAACACTCCTTTGTAGAATTTGTTGTCTATTACTGCTGCTCAGCAGAGGCATTGCCAATGTATTTTCAGAAGCAGTGATTTACTCCTTTAGTTCTTAAATAATGCAGCTATCATTCCATAGCAACACTGTGTTTTATTCTTTTTGAACTGCCTTCCTTCTCAGAAATATTTTTCCAATTCATTTCAGATTGGATTAAAGGTAACCGTGCCTCAGCAAATAGAAAATAATTGAAAACAGAGAGGCTTTTATCACTCGTTTTTGTTCAGAAGTTCAGCTGTGGCACTTCAGCACTTCCATTGCATACTCTTGACATATTTCTACTTATTAAATGAAAATTAGAAGACTAAAAAAACTCATAATTATGTTTTCTTGTAAGTTAGATTTTTAAAATCTAGCTTCTTATGGCTTGATTTTAGCATTTTGCTGAGCAGCAACCTGTACTTGAACAATCCCACATTTAGCCAGCAAGGATAACTGCCCTATGGGGATGTGCTAATGATACACTCCAGCTAATGTTTCCCAAAATCACTACTTGCTTTCCCATTATGTATACATCAGTTCTTCAATTATTCATCTCTTCACATGCTTTCCTAATGTTGGCAAATAGAATTCCTTCATTAATCAGGCATCTGGTCAACACAGTACTGATTATATCTGTCATCTGTATAATGCAAGGTAGCATGAATTTTTAATAGTTCTTTCACTGAAATAATGAGAACTAAGAGGTTTATTTATGAGTCTGTGTACAGTCTAGCCCCATTTTATACAGCCATTTTAGCAAAATGGTCTCTTTATGTTGTGCCTCAGATCTTTAAATGTTCTTTAGTCAATCATACTAATTAATGTCATTAGTATAATTTTTTTTTATTTTTACACTATAACATTCTACAGATTCCTATTGTTCTGGCACAGTAACCAGAGTAGATATTTTAAATGCCTTTCTATTTCCCTTTTTTAAAAACAATGTTAAAACAGCAACTTCTTTTCAAAATATTCTTTTAGTAGATTTGAAAGTATTCTCTCTGTTTTATGACATCTTCGTGAGGAAAAGCAACAATTAATTTTCTTTTTAAAGCTAGTCTTTTCTTTTACGTTTTCCTAAGGTCAAAGAAGAATCATCAAGATCATACATAAAGTTAAACTAAGGCATATAATACCCTACAATTTACAGAAAAAAAAAATGTAAAGTGCAGTGTGGCTCAAAATTTCAAAATGAGAGTATTTACATAGGAAAGCTACACAACTTTAGAATAAACAGGCTTCTTGGACATCTTTTTAAAATATTTTCTGCTGCACATACATTCAAATAGTTATAGAAAATGTCTTCTTCTGTTTAAAAAGAGAAGTAAAAGGAACTAAAGAATGAAAATTAAGAAACAGGATTGGAACCATTTTTTTCTAAGACACTGTCATACTGAAAACACTTCATATACAGTGATCTGATATTTTATTATAAAATTATTGCTTGACAGGGGACTGTTATTTGAGAGAATGGTCAGAATGGAGCCTGTGCCAGTTAACGTGTGTTAATGGTGAGGACCTTGGCTTTGGAGGGATACAAGTGCGATCTCGGGCAGTCATCATTCAAGATTTAGAGAATCAACACCTCTGTCCAGAGCAGGCTTTGGAAACACGACCGTGCAATGGTAAGCACCAAAGAACACCTCATGTAAGAGTGATGTAATAAAATGCAGAACAACAGAGGTATTGTTTTCTTCCTGTTCAGAATATCAGAAATTGGAGAGAAAAGCAGGGTGGCTTGGACTAGATGATCTCTAGAGGTCCCTTCCAACCTTAACCATTCTGTGAGTCTGTAATTCTGAAAAGAGTTTCAAGGACACAGGAATACACTTTCTTTTTTGAAACAGACTTTTTTTGAAACAGAATTATGAAGCAAAAAAATTTTTGAAAATGTTATAAAATCTTAACCGTTGTATTTTAGGGCTTCAGTTGCAATTCTTTGGGAATTGTTATCTTACTTTAATAATGAAATTCCATTTTATGATTTGGGAAAAAATATTTGCCTTTTCTCACTAGAACTTATGATTAAAAAAAATCTTTCAAATCTTGATGCATAACCACATTTGAATTTCCCTCTTCCATTTGAACTGTTATTAATCACATGACAACAGCATTGAGATGTCTTGACCATGATTACTACTGAAGAGAGCATCAGTTGAAAAAGACATTTTGGGTCCACACATTTTTTGTCTATTCCAGTTGTGCCAGACAAATGGGAAAAAAAGAAGTTTATATTTACAAATGAGGGAAGGATGGGTCAGATAGATAGATTGTGTAATTTATCCCGGTGAGGGCATACAGCAGAACAGAACTGTGAATCCGGGTCAAGTGCTTGAATCACCAGGCCACTTCATTATAGCCTCGATCAGTGACTGAAGAAACCTAACTCCTGATTCACTCTTGCACAGCAGATGGGGCATGGCCATTAAAAGGCTATTGGAAACATCTACTTTTTCCTGTTAACTGCCCTGGGTGTACCCCATGTGCAGTGTGTTCAGAACAAGATAATTAGTGTCTGACAGATATATAATCTCTTCTGTATGACCAGAAAGTGCAGGAGACCTTCCAGGGCCTGCATGTGTGCAGTACACCTTCTTCAGCTTCTGGATGAAGGATCGGGCCCATTTGGCCATAAATGGTGGTTCACTTTTCTTAACTGTAGAATAATGTAATATAATGTAATAGTAATGTAATAGTTGAATTATTGCTGCTACTGGTGAGTGGACAGTGGAAACCTAAAGTCTTGTCACCAAATCCATGTTCTCTCTCTCTCCAGATGGCCAGTGTTACGAGTACAAGTGGATGGCGAGCGCGTGGAAGGGGTCTTCTCGAACGGTGTGGTGCCAAAGGTCAGATGGCTTAAATGTCACAGGTACCTAACTCCTTTTTTATATACACAAAGAAACTTAGAAAACAAATGAAAAACATCTTTTTTACAACAGCTTTTTTTCAAGTGAAAAGATGCAAAAACCTTACATGGACACCAGGAACACTTCTCTTAATGTTTATTTAATGTGGAGTTGTCCTGAATTATCACGTTACTGCATACCAAACAAAGGCTTTTCAGAATTAGGTAGAATTATGTAATGTTAAAGTAAACATAAAATATTATATTCTATATCAGACTTGCAATGTTGTCCATTTGGTATTTTTCTATAGTCATTTATACTCTTCGGGATTTAGGTTTTCAGATTTCAAGCCCTACAATAACCAGAGCATTTTATTTATTCAAGTGTATATGTTTTCTGTGTACTTTTCACTGCATTCAAGGAGCCAGAGAGATGTCATGGCTGATGATATCATGCATATATCATCTTCTTCGAAGAAAGTACAAAATATCAAATTTTAACAAATATATTACTATAGATGCTTTAATTTAAATCAATGGGATAAACCTATACCAAAATACCTGAGTAGTCTAACATTTTCAGTTTTTGGATGTAGTTAATTTTAGTGCAGCTTCCTCAATGCAATCACTGGTCAGTGGCAGGAATGGGACTCTAATTTATGGACTGCTTGTATGGTACTTCTTAATGTCTGCATTCAGAACTACTATCTATTGCGACAACTAAATAGACTACTGTCTATTGAGATAGTATTCTTTTTACAAAGTTTTTAAAATAATATCTGTCAGGCCAAAGTTTCTTTTGTAAGTAAGTGTCACCTTGTACTGTAAAAAATATTAAAATCTATCATACTGAATGCAACAGGCAGTGTCTATGCAATTTGATTATCTTCTGCCTAGCTAAGATGATTGTGTGGTAACTAAAAATATAAATAAGAATCTTCATTGAGAATGGTACATTATGTGATCTGTTAAAGGTTCTATAGGCCTTCAAAATAAATAGCATTTTGGAGATTATGACTTTGAGATGTTAAAAAGTAAAATTTGTTCATAAGTCACTGTGAGTCATATATTAAAAAAGAATAGTTATTGTGGTATAATTGAATACAGCCAGGTGAAAAAATTCCAGGGAAGAGAATTGCATAATTTTGTGTTGTTGACAGATTTTTCATGAAGCCATGCACATATCTACATGGATATGTAGAATTGCTTCTCTTATATAATAAGCTCCATTATTTTAGCTGTGTTAGAGATCCATAATTATCTTCTGACTTTAAGATTTGTTTTCTCTTCCAAATGGATTTAATATAAATGATAATCTGACCTTTATAAGACATGGAGGTAAACGAAGCATTGGACAACAAAAGTATGCTTAGTTACCAAAGAAATATCATATCAGAGTAATAGAAACTGACAGATTTAAATAAGGAAAAACAGCAAATATAGTATATTTAGCATATCAAAGAAATATCTGATGCATTGTCCTTTGCATTAGTATTGATCAGGCTGCAAAAGATGAGTATTGCAAAACAGAAACAAGCTATCAGAAAGCAAGGTGGTAACAAATCAATGGTAAATTACTTACTCTGAGGACTTACTCATTTAAATAAATGCTTTTATCACAAAAAGCGTAAGACATGGTTACTAATTTGTAGATAGATGATTTGAGAACTTTAGTATCTTTCTGTATTGAATTGTAGATGAGTGGAAGACTCCAGAAAACAAAAGTGCCAGACTCCATCCAATATGAAATTAAATTTTTGACATATTCTTGATTGTTTTCAAACAAAGTACTTAAATATAATTCTGTTGAAACTTCTCTGCATCAAGTATACAAAAGTGAACCAGATTACAAGCACAGTACTGAGGTGTTTTGAAAGTCTTGCTTATAAATGTCAATATTTAAGAGTTCATTCTGAATAGATACAAGCACATGATGGACTTAAGTAGAAATTACATATTTTGGCCTAGAATCAAACCATATTTAGATTATCATATTTCTTTGCCTCCTTAATACTGCAGGTCTGGCAGCTGGAAAGTAGTATATTTTTATTCAGATATGATCAAGGTTTTATTACAAGTGCTGTTGTATTTTAAGGCCTTTTTTTTTGGCATAATATTATTGTGCTGAATAGTTGTTTTTTGCTTGAAGGTGTTGTTTCCCATGGGCGATGAAGCAGCTCTTTCCTTCTGCAGCTCCCTGGATGCCTGATATTTTATTACATAGATGCTCACAGGCATGTGATTTGTATGCCAGAATGCACACTTTTATTTTGTCGGGGGTGGGGAAAACTTACGGCAACCAGCAGGGTTTTCTTTGTCCTTCATCAGCCATCCTGTTAACCCTTCGATTTAGCATAACAGCTAAAATAATAACTACATCTAACTGCATCTGCTACGGTGGTGACCAATGCCAGCTCTTGGGGTTTCACCATCATATCACACCGGCATAAGAATGCAATTAATCTGACGAATGTAAGACAAGCTGGCCTGTAGCAGTATACATCTTAGACTAGGTGATGCATATTCCTCTTCCGTAAGAAGGAAACCCAGGTACCTTCACACTAAATTTATTTACTATTCTGGCTGAAATGATAGTGAAAGCCTGATTGTGTGCATTGGTCCATAACAATAACTCTGCATTGTACATAACACTGTAGCAATGAGAACAAGAATTGTGTAAAAAAAGAAGATGCCTGAGAATGACTGTTCTAGTATAATAGCATTCAGCATGTGTTTTACTGAGAGAGCTTCTTTGCTTCTTTTCTCCATGGAAAACCATCCTTATACTAGCATGAAGTGTAGCTTCATAAAAGGAAAAAAAATGAACAAAAATGAATAAAAGTGCAGCAGTAGCAGAAAACAAGCACCAGTTCATGAACCGAATGGTTAGTATGTCTTCAGTTTATCAGGCAAAAATCTAGGACAAAAGTATCCTTTTCTTTGTAGCCACAGTTTTAATATGAGTAATAAGGAGGGTCCTAGAAAATAAAAATCTGTTCCCTCAAACACCACATTTAAGCTGTTTCTTGAACAAACCACAGAAGGAAAAAGTAGAAAAACAGAAGGTTTACTTGTCAAATACTAGCTCACTAAATTGCACCTGAATATACATACAGTATCCTTACTCCACCTATGAGAAGATACCTGAGACCCCTTTCCACTCACCTTGGAATAAAAGTAGCTCTCCTAAGTTCATAACAGCCATAAAATGGTAATCTGTGACCTACTTTAGTAAGCAATGACATGAGTATTTCATCAGTGGTGAGGTATTACCATGTCAAAATATAATTTTCTGTCCTACAGGGGGCTGTTTAGAGATGCGCCAACCAGACGCTGACAGGTCATGTAACCCACCGTGCAGTCAAGCCCACGCTTACTGTAGCGAGGTATGTGCTACTGTGCTGGAGCAGCAAACACCCCCAGGAGTTCTTCCCACACATCTGCCACAAGAGTACTCCCAGAAATTTTACTAGCTGTTGAAATCATTTTTGTTAAAATCAACCTCAAACCATTTTCTGCCTTTCCATTAAATGTTGAAACATCACTGTTGATTCAGTCAGATATTGCATAAAAATATATGAAGAGCTGTAGTCTCCAGCCTAGCACTCATCAAAAGAATCTTCTCTTCCAGTCATCCATTTTATTATTCATAGCTCATGGAAAACTGCTTTGCTGCTACACAGTGTCAAACACTTGTTCCCTACAGACTAGGACGTGCAGTTGTGAAGATGGATACACGGAAGTCATGTCCTCCAATGGCACGCTCGACCAGTGCACGCTCATCCCAGTGGTGGTGATCCCCACCATGGAGGACAAAAAGGGAGATGTGAAAACCAGTCGAGCTGTGAACCCCACGCAGCCTTCCAGTAACCAGTCAGGACGAGGAAGGACCTGGTTTCTGCAGCCTTTTGGGCCAGGTGAAGTTGTACGATAAGCGCTTCTTAGTGCTAAGCATTGCTGCAGGGGCTGGCATTTGCATTTTTTTGATGCTGAGGAAGAAAAACAAAATCCTTTAGCATTCACTTAAGAAGACAGTGGCCTGCCCTGATTAAAACAAATGAAGAGGCATAAGTAAACACCTATTCTTCTCTGCTACTCCATCAGTATATTTAATGAAATCTTTTATGACAGAATATTTCCTTTTATTCACTGGTTCTTATTAAAATTCACAGAAGCTGTTTGAAATGTGACTCTGGAAAGGAGTTGACTGCAAAGGTGCAAGCCAGGACACTAGATTATGCTGTCTCAATCAATAATACATCCATTATGATGTATGGATATACTCCAAAAGAATAAAAAGATAGCACTGTGAGGGATCCTTAAAATTTGCAAGCAAGTTATAAATTGCAAGGAAACAATTGATGTAGATACACTAATGCTCTTCTGCCATACCCATATTTAAACTAATTTATCTTAGACAAGAGCTAACCATAATGATGGTATTCAACATAGGCATGCTCTGAGTTACTGACTTGGGCTGACTGACCAAGTCCTCTAGAGCTGAGGAAGCACCTTTGTGTAGGAGTGGTAGGACATAGAGGTAAGACATGAGATTAAGGGCTGATTATTTCCATTCCAGGACTGAGTAACCATTGAAAAAATTCTTCTTTACCCTACCATGGTTATTCCATTCCTCAGAGATTCTAAATCTGGCTTACAATAATTCTTTCACCAGCTTAAATAATACTACATTTCTGGAAAGGAAGGTGTTTAAACCAGGTGTCCTCCACGTGTCCTTGCTAAAATAATACCCAGAACAGATGCACTCGAAAGGTCTATTTCCCTGTATATTTTGAAAACTAAGTTATGCAGAGGGAATTCAGAGTACATCAATTAGGTGCCTGAAGATGGTTGGTATGTGTTAACATAGTTCTCTACTTCGTCATAAAACTGATCCAGACACAAAGTAATGTCAGTCCTTCTTTCAGGGAGAGAACACTTTAAAAAATAAATAAACTTTAAAAATAAATTAAAAAAGAAAAACAAAACAAATCACACACAAAAAACCCACAAACAAACAAAAAAGTCCCATAACTTTTCCCTGTGTAAATAAGTCAGAGGAAAGACAATAACTTGGTTAGCAGTAATGAAGTCTGAATTGCCCTCATTCAGACATTTGTTAGGTCAAATTGGCTGCTTCTATCCATCTTTAAATGGATCAGTGATTTCAGTGCTAATAGTTTTGTTTCATTAGGTGAGTTGATGTAAGGAAGCTAAAATAATTTTATATTAATTGCCCAAGTTGTCCATGTGACTGTAAGTCTTTGGCTTGTTGAAGGACAGAAAGCCTAAACTTTACTGTGCAGTGTTAGAGAAGGCTGTGGTGAATATGAACAAAATCAGCCCAACTAATCTACATTATTATCACGTTGCGGAAGCATCAGCTGCATTGATAATGCCGCCTTGTTTCTACAGAGCTATTGGGAAGCAGCAAATATCTGGTCAGAAGTGCAAACATTCTTAGCATTAGATTGAAAATAACACGTGGCATATTGTAAGACACTAGAAAATGACTTAATGAAATAGCAGTTTTGTCCCTTTTAAAAGAAATATTCATTTTTTAAAATAAATTTTCATCGACAACCAAGTGTAAAACGGCTATCTAACCTCTTGAAAAAGAATATTTTCATTATCAGTTTAGAGCATGAATCAAATAACGTGCATTGGCCTCAGGTTATGAAATGGTGATTTAGGGGTTCAGAACCATACCCTGCAGAAAGTCACATCAGCTGTTCTGCCTTTTTTTCCTGGGATTAGGAAACACATCTAGGATCAAGGCAAATAGGAGAGTGGAATATATACCTCAGACTACAGGGACATTGTGCCAAAAATAAATAATAATAATAATAATAATAAATAATTAAAAAAAAACAAACAGGAAAAAATGAAGAAAAAAGTTATCTAAAAACAGAAGTAAATTGCAGCAACCATGAAAAGAATAGGCAGGTTGAATTCCCGAAGCTGAAACTGAAACACTGGCTGCATTTGGTGGGGAGCTGCGTTCCAGCCGTGCTGCCTCTCTGCTCCCTTGGGATTACGGGGACTTTGGCTGGAGAGCCGGACACGTGCGCAGAGAAAATAAAACCCAAGGAAGAGCAGCTTCTTTCTTGGCAGGGCTTGTCAGGAAAACTGGAGAGTGTGTAAAACGCACATTACTTCACTTCTTTACTAGTATCTACTCCCATTAAGCTGTAATCGTGCTGATGAAGATATTTATTTGGGATTTTAAAAGTATTTCTATACTATTTTAGAACTAATATTTCAACAAGACTAACTCAAGCACTACTGACTAACATTCATTCCTTTTAGATGGGAGGCTGAAGACCTGGGTTTATGGTGTAGCTGCTGGTGCATTTGTTTTACTCATCTTTATTGTTTCTATGATCTATCTAGCCTGGTGAGTTCTTTAATTATTTACAAACAAGCAGTCACACGCAGACTGTAATGCAAGCATTTACATACGCAGCACTAGAAACTGCAGGCAGCCCTCCTAGGAACTACAGTGTTAAAATTTCCACATCCTGTCACCAAAGCTCAGGGTAGTGGCTGCAAACCTCTTACAGATACGGCCTCTCTTAGTGTATGGATTATTTTTGCTCAGTTTATGTCTGTTAATGACTGCATCCCATGCTAATTTCATTGCAGCTGCATCACCATGTGGAGAGGAAGGGAAAGATTTAGTGGCTAGGCAAGATGGATTTGTTATTTGAAGGGATACAGAGGTACACAAAGAAGAAAAGGCTCAAAGCTTTCTCATGTTTTTCAGAGATGAAATGTTGTTTTGTTGAAAATCATCTTGCTTTAGAAAGCAATAATATTTTTCCAAGAACACATCACTTTTGATTATGTTTTTACTCAAGATTTTGGGTCCAATTTGGAATTTCTGATCCAAATGACAGGGCAGATCATACCTATCCTGAACACAGATCCTTAATCATCAGGCTATACTGCATTAGTAAGCATTTGTGACAAAGAAGATTTTTCTTCTTTTTTTTTCTTTTTGGTAGACTGTCTCAACAATCTCAGTTCTGTCTCAGTAAGGAATAACATCTTTTTTATACGGGAAAGAATCACCCTATCACCCTAACAACACTATAAGTTCTTTAGACTGCAAGGTGAAGCAGCTGTTCAGGGAACAGTTGACAACCTAAGTGATACCTCTGAGAGAAACTGTTTGAAGGAGGGTGAGAATGCATAGGCCTGATTAAAGAAATGTTAATATTATACACTAAAAGGAGACAAGTACTACAAAAGAGCATTATTCTATCTAAAAGTTAAAAAAAAAGTGCAAACAGAGTTTTTACTTTCATTTGTTAGTTTTTTCATTTGTTAACAAAACCCAAAACTGTTTTTAATCCATTTGATCACACTGTCTAAAATTAACCTTCGTCATTTTGGCAAGTAGAATGCGACAGGCTAATGGAAAAGATACTACCCAAGATGGAACGTTCACGGGCAGACTCTTGATGTATCAAGAGAGGTTAAGACCTAAGTTACATAAATAAAAAAATAAACTCTTAGTGATTTTAATACACCATATTCCACTGTAGGTTCTGCTTTTTTGCTTGTGTTTGTTGTTGTTGTTGTTTGTTTCTTCAATGAGTGATCTGGCAGGATTAGCCATCTCCTGACAAGGATTTCGTCAAGCCACACCAGTACCAAAACAGCCTGTTTCTCAACAGTTGAGCTTGAATTGGTGTTGCTTTGGGTTGTTAAAGAGAGAATTATAGATCAGAAAGTGAAGTGTTTAGGCAAATAGCTTGAACCCAACCGACAATCAAATGCATTAGTTTAAACACTAGTTTTTTGGAGGTTTTTTTGTTTGTTTGTTTTTTAACTTAAGAATGAAACCCACACCTTTTATGCTATTTGTCTATCATTCTATTTACAAAATATCTTACTGTTTCAGCAAAAAGCCAAAGAAGCCCCAGAGAAGACAGAACAACCGACTGAAACCATTAACCTTGGCTTATGATGGAGATGCAGATATGTAAAATATAACTTCTCATGATGACAAATGGAATCTAAACTATTGGATCAAAATCAGAAGGTTATCCAAAGCCACAAGAATTTGCTTTGGAGTGGATTAAGTGATTTGACTTTTTTTTTCTTTTTTTTTGTAACTGCACCATAGATAAAGAAGGATGGATTTCATAATGCCTATGGATATTCAAGGTATTTTTGCTTTACTTTAGACCATCGACACTGAGAATTCTGGCAGAACCACTTTAATAGACCCTGCAGTTGGAGATATTTGCGATCTTTCCTCAGTCTTACAAAACTATAAGCACCACTTCTGTCTCCAGGATGCTGTAGCTGCCATAGATTTGAAAGCCCCTGCAACGTTAACTAAGTATAACCAGTACAGCATGAAGAGTTTGTACCAAGCTGTCTATGACTCTTTATATTCAAGCATAAGATATATACTCAGATGAACCATGTGTATTACTCTGTCAGATTATATACATGTTAAAGAGCATTTTAGTGCTTAGAAAAATATTAACTTTTAACTGAGGTTAACCCACTAAGCAAGTTCAACAGTTTGGCAATTGATAACTCATGTTAACCTGCATTTCAGAGGGCAATGACTCACTTGCAAAATTCTGTCCTGTTATCACTCCAAAGTATCAATGCCTCAGCTATACATCGAGAAGGGAGGCATTCTCAGATTCAGTATTTTCTAGAGGTTCCTGTCTGGAAAAATAATACCCATTGTAAATGTTACAATACGTTTCTACTTTCTCTAACTCAAACTGTTGCCTGCATCTTTTTTGCTACATGTAAGGCAAATTTTTGCACTATATTAGTGCAGCATGTTATGCACTTAACTAGTATTGCCATAGAAAACCTGCCTCTGTTCAGAAAGGATGATGATCTATCTATCTTGTGCAAGGAGTGTCAAGGAGACAGGTCTTAATCCCTGAAGAGAGTAGAGTTCAGTCTGGACTGCACTTGGATGGGACCAGCTAACGACACGTACTTCCTGCTCCTCATCACCGCGGCCGTTCGTAGTCTCTATCATGGCAGTAATACAAGTGTCTAGTTTTTTGCCCCGTCTACCTATACAAATATAGATTGTCCTGCTGGTTTCTAATTGTACTTTGAAGGTTGTTTATGACTAGATTTTTTATATTTGTTAACTTTGTTAAAAAAAGAAAAAGAAAAAGTGGTTTCCCTCTAATCTTGAGTGACATATTTAGCTGAGAAGGTATTCTGATTGTTCAGCTGAAAGAAAAGCTTTTGCTATTTTTATTTCGCTAGTAAAAGCATTTTCACTGTTGCTGGCAATGCAAAACTCAGAGCCCTTTTGTCTTTTCTAATTAAGATAATTGCAGAGACTCATTACTTTTAACCGAATGGTTAAAAGTAGCAGAATTGAGCATACTGGCAAGTAAAGAATAAGATCAAACCTTCTGCCATTTTAATAGTCATAACTCTAAAAAACAAAAACTCAGTGTTATAGAAGCTCACTGTTAACCTCTCCCATGCTTATGGCTCGTTGCTGTTATGCTTCCCCCGGAAGGTTGTTGTTTCTACAAGCCTGTTACGGATGGGATTCATGGCCTGAGAAGAGTTATTCTCACAAAATGGCTTCTACATGGGAGTGACTGTGCCACTACGAAGCAATACAATTACAAAGCTTGATCAGGCAACCTCTCATTCGTTATGTAAAGTTCAGTATTAGGTCCTCAGGTCTTTTTTATAACCTAAACCATTTCTGCCTATTCCTCACAATATTTGCTCAAGAAGCACCGGTTTTTGCACATTAAAGAAAACTGTAGCTTTTGCAAACTTTGGCCCATGGTAATCAGTGTAATCAATGACATCTACTGCAATCAATGACAAGATTCTCCCTGATATAAGTAGGTTACACAAGTCCTTAAAAATATCTAACCTGGTTCCATGTAAAATAATTCTTAGAATCAATGTGCATTTTGCCCAGTGTTAAGAGAGATTATGGTCCTAATTTAATTTAGCTAATTTATAAAACCAGTTTGGTGTTACAGCATAAAGAAAATGATATTCCTTCCACTCACCCGAATGGGAATGACAGGCGAAGGGAAAAATAGTAACCAGCTTTTGTACAGGTTAAAATTTTCACCTTGATTCTGTAATAGCAGGTGAAGTGCCCATGAGCCCGTCCTGCAAAACTGGGGGCTTGAGTCTGGTCTCACTCTGTAAAGAGCCAGAGGAAAAAACAAACCTTCAAAGCTCTTGGTAGGAAACAACAAAAACCTAGTTGGTTCCTCTTTAACCAGACATATAAAAAATAAGGTGGAAAAGCTTAAAGTTTTTAAAAATTATGTATATCACATGGAAATCATGATTTCTGTACTTTAAAAAGTCTGCTTCTGAGTTGTCCAACAATGTTGGACCAATATCAGTTGAGGGAAGAGGTAAGAAATCATCACTACTTATTATCCTGGCAGGTCTCAGACACTCTTGTCTGGTTCTTGCCCTGAAGATTTTATGCCCTAAAGGTCAGATTTTAGTAACTTGAGGGTTATTAAGGTGTACCATCGCCTTTTTAATCGCTGTGTAAAAATGACAAATGAAGAAAGGGATAAAAGTTCAAGAATGTTTGGCCTTTGCAACCCATGCAAGTATTTGAATAGTAATTACATTGCTTTTTATAGCTCAGTGAATTGTGGAGGTGCACATCCACGTTATAAACGTGCTGCATCTAAAATCTAGAGTGCATTTATTAAACGCAAAGTGCACAGAAATTTGAAGCCAGGATGGCTTCTCTTTTTATCAAGAGAAGATTATTAGACTATAAGGAGGGCTGATGTAGTATGTAAAACTAAAAGTTGCAAAGGTGATTAAGCCTTTTAGCATTGAAAAAGTAATAAAGAATAGGGTAAGTATCAGTATAGAATAAAAAGTATTTGCTTTAAAAATCAGAGTGCTTCTTCAAATCCAGTGCCTAAAGCAGCCACTACTGTAGATCATTAGTTTGTGAAAGTAACGTTTCCAGTGATCAAATAAATCATGCAGAAAATAGCAAAGTAGGCATTTTCCTGTTGATGTGGTGGTTTGTAATTTCCTTTTTAAATCTGTAGTTTCTAGATGACTGTGTCTGCTTTGAGTCCTGGAGCAACTCCTTTTCTAGGCTTCGGTGCTCCTATACAAGCTTGTTTATATTTGGTATAAAGCACCGATTTTGAAACTCCCTTCCTCCTGCCCAAATGTAAAGTCCATTTTCCAATAGTACAATCTGAAGAGACCAATTTAAAAATTCTGTGTATAAATCACTGTAAAATATACCCTGAGTGAAAAATGGAAATCTGTCTTTTTACCTTTATGTAAATTGTGCTCACCCAAAGTTAAGAGTTTATTTTGCCTAACTTAATTTACTTGAATATTTATTTTGTAGAACAAGGAGGCAGCTGTCTGAGGAATGTTTACTTTTTTTTTTGTTAACATTAATTTGTAAATTGTGTAATGCATTTTTATTTTTTAAATTATGTATATTTCTTTTTTTTAAATGCGCAAAATGTTTACGTACAACTACTGCAAATTTGTGTATATTGTCACTAAGCTTTATTCAGTTAATACAGATGACGTGAAAATGTAAGAAGCCTTACATTTTCATATGGGTTATTTTTACATAACTGATGCATTGCTGACAATAAATATAAATACAAAATCATTTCATGTCTCTCTTTTTAACTGATGTAGAATAATACTCTAGTTAGAGTAACAAAACCCAGGTCCCTAGAGTGTGATCACCTTTTAAATATTCTCTTTTTGTGAAGGATATCAGCAAGCTTACTCTTTTGAAAAATTGGTAATTCTATAGGAAAAATGTGTATTGGCAACTGTCAAAGCCCATTCCTGGACAATTCTGGTTGGCATAAAAGTTTACAATGAATATTTACCCAATGTATAAATAATTCAATAAATAAATTGCAATACAGATTCTCTCTTAATTGCCATCTTTAGGCAACACAAACCATTTGTTGAGAATAATGGGTGGATTTTGGTTTCACTAAAAGACAGATATCGACTTCCATGAAGCTGAAGCTCTTCCTCTACACCAAAGCACATCATAGAGTAAAATCTGCCTTTCACCCCCTCAAATATGCAAATATACCCCCAAAAATGTCATTTAAATTCTAGCTGAATATCCAAATAGACCCTAATTTCTTCTAAACTCAAAATTTTGTGCTTAGCTAGGGAAATAAGTGGTTCCACATTTTTCTCAAAACAACATCTCTCTCTATGGAGGGAGTTGAATCCGGCTGGAATCAACCGGACAAGAGCCAGAACAATCTCATCTAGTGTCAAAGGCCGCCTGGACTTTCCCAGAAGCTTGAACCTCCATAGATTCCTTCCAATCTAAATTTTATCTAGGATTTTAATTATTTATAGATATTCTGGCATTGTCTTCTGAGCTAACAATTCAGTAAAATGCTTTCTTTGTAATGTATTGAGCTTGGAACCACTGGATGGATGTGGGGTTGCTAGTTAAAATATTCCGGTTCTTATGGCAATTCTTGGCAGCTTCCAAAAGTCCATGTTTATCTCACTCCTGCTTTCTGACCCAGTTGTCTTTTGAAGTCAGACATGTGTCATATTGCTGCCATCTTGAGATTGCCTGGGGGCAGATCATTCATATCCTTGACAAAGAAACTAAGGGCTAGCGATGATTCATTCAGTTTTTGTTGATAACTGCTTGAAATGACCTATCACAAAAATCATGTGGCTAGCCAAAATTATCCCATTCAGATAACTTTTTATCTAAGAAATGAGCATAATTATTACATGGTATACATTTCTGTCCCTCCAGGCACTGAGTTTACTTTGGAAAGTAAGAGCAAAAGTTTGACCGCAAGTGCTCTTACATTCACAACTAAAGACACTCAAGGCAAGCCCTTGATGTATGTTCTGGTCTGAGCATCACTCTCTGTCGGATTCACTAGTGCAGCGCTGCTTAGAAGTGATATCAAAGAGTGGCTCGCACTTATCCATCTTGGATGATGGTTGCTGGGATTCCAGTGTGGAGCCCGACTGCCATCACGTAGCCTCTTTGCTGCTTCCTTCAGCTGTCTTGCCATTTGCTGTACTGTGCTTTTGTGCAGTTGTACTGTGCTTTTCATAGTCCTCATCTCAGTAGTAAATATTAATCATTCTATAATCATAGGTGCTTTGAAAAAACAACATAATCTCACAGGTTTTAAATTAATCATCTAAGCCATGAAGACCCATTCAGTTTTTGACACACTAATGATTACAATCAAAATCTAAGAGCACAGATGGTAAATAGTGATGTGAAGTTTGGATAAAGAGGGAAAAAATTAAGTGTAAATTTTGTCTTCCCTTAACAATAACTAAAAAAATGAAATGCCTACCTGTAAACATCAAAATGTGGCTCAGCCTCATCTATGAATTCTTAACCAGCACTGTTCCTTGAGACGCATGTATGTAAACAGAAATATAATTTGAATCCATGGCCAAAATGTAGTTAACTGTTTTGGGAATGCATATTCACCATTTGTTGGCTCTCCAATATTGGCAGGTAATGTTTAAAGCTCTGCGTCAGAAAGTCCCAAAGAAGTCCTCAAAACTGAGCCTAAACTGATTTCCCCTGCCTGAACTTACAGAAAGAATATCAAATCTGTGACAGAAAAACAAAGTAAGGGTGACACGTACCATATTGTATCTTGTTTTCATACCCTGGACCCAATTCTCTTTACCAACTTTCTTCCTGTGCTTCCTGTGCATCTGAGTACTTCGAGCAGATGGCAGGTTTCATCCTTAGCTGGAACTTCTTTTCTGATTTGCACTGATTGCTCTCATAGCCTTAATTCTATTTTGATGTGGCTACTCATTCCTAAGTATGTTTAGACAACAGTAGTTACCAAATGACAACTTACTTACAGCTATTTCAAGACTTGCTGTCAAATGGAAAAACATGCATACCTAAAATGCCATTTAGAGCCTGAAATCGTG